AAGACTGCAGATTAACATTTAGAATCCAGGAAATCACTAACTATCCATGTAACAATTTGGCCATAATACAGCACACTGACCATACAGTACACGGTCTAACCATATTCTAGGTTTCGACCTAGTCTTGTTTGCCTGATGGTGCAAAAGCAAAAAGCACTTTTGAGACAAAACATAACTTTGTGAACAAATTATTCACAATGGCAAAAAGTTTCACAATGCAATGTTTGTGTCACAATTTATTGTTGGGAATTTGTATGCATTGACCTTTTGGCAATTCTTCATGCGGATCTTTAGGATTGCAGCCCAGGATGCTACATAAATGTTTGTTCGTCTGTATGCAACCAACTCAAAAACTAATGGGCAGGTTAACTTAGCTTTGTTATGCACAACCATAATTCTAAAATAAAGATACTGTTGATATTTGTTTTAGTGACCATATATTCTTTTGAGTGATCTCTTTTCACAAACAATACTTAAATAATTACACCAACTATCCAAATACTGCTAAGAGTTAAATTTCTCTATATTCTTAACAAAAAGTTCACAACCTGGTTGGTTGAATGTCAATTAAATGAGAATAGAAAATATAGAATAATTTATCTGACTTTTCCTGAGACAATATTTGAACATAGGGATGTCTATGCTAATAATGCATAATCTTTTTATGTATGTGTACATGCATACATACACTGTGCGGTACGTGACAAACTTTTAACAGTCTTCACAGTAGGGTTCTATCAGTGAGGTTTTTATCAGGTTTGGTCTAAAGTGCTAATGCAGCTCCAGATAAAGCTGCAGAACAATATGCCTTCGGGTGAACATGGTGGGTTATGACACAGCGATACGCTGTGCATGACTTAATTGTGTCTGGACTTTCAGCCAATGTATGCTCAACCAGACCGACTGATAGGTCAATAAACTGTGGGAGAATGTATTGCAAACTGTATTATGCAGGTTAAATCATACACTCTATATTTTATAGATTATACAGGACTGCATGTTAAGCATTTTAACCAATGCATATTCAGTATACACTAATATAACACATACTGGTAGAAAATATGTTAGATTTTTAGTGACTACATTTTAGAGAATATCTTATGTATTTGTATAAGAATGAGTTGTGCAAAATCTCAAGAGAGACACCTCATGAACACTAAGTTAAGGCCATTTCATGCATCATGTTGTTGCAGTACCTCCAATAAGTGAAATGTCAAAGAAATTAGAAGGATTGCTCAAAGGGCTGTGCCTACAATACCCTGGCAGGTATAAGATAACTTAAAAATGTTTCATTAAGGGGATGCATACATTTATATTCTGTAACTTGGGGATGTTTGGAGGACACAATGAAATGTGCCAGTAGGAGTGGTGTTTTTGGCCCTTGGCCAAACATGAGATGAGAGAAGATTTTAATTTTGCAACAATGTAAGAAAAGAAAAAGCTATATACTAATGAAAACACAAAAACGCAAAAGGCTCTATCTAGAGCCGATGTTTGGTTTGTCCATTATGGGCTACTGTAGAAACATGGTGGTTCAACACGGTGGACTCCGTGGAAAGCTGTAGATAAAAATGTCTCATTCTAAGGCAACAGGTGATTATATACCAATGAAAACATACCTATGAACATTATATTTCATTTCTGCCAATAGATCCTCCTAAATGTTACACAGTGAACCTATTAAAAGCCGTGGCTTTATGTTTTCTATGTATAATTCTCAAGTTTAAATTAACTTGAATTGATTAACTTTAAATTTTAATGAATGACAATTGACATCTTGTGAGGTAATGTCTTGATTAGATAAAAACATTTCTTTTATTCTAATAGTGATTTGAAGGTACAAACCTTGTTAAGGTTTGCAGTAATAATCAGACAATGTGTGATCTTAGATTAGATTGAAGCATTTTGACATTCGGTGTGGCAGCACTCTCAAAGCTTATGTGATGACAAAGCTGATGTTTGCAGATTTGGCAAACTACTCAGCACAACAATCCATACTGAAGGGTTGCAATATGTGATTAGGAAGTCTCCAGATAACCACTGATTACACAGAGCAAAGCATACAGTTGATAACATCTGCACAGCTGTATCTCTGTCGAATGGTCATGTGGTAATATTATCATGCAGCTTGATCATGCACCGTCAGGAAGCTATATGTTCTTTTCCGACTACATCTTAACAATGAGAAATAAATGAATAATAAAGGGGAACAGGACTTACAAAACAGAATGAATATTCTCAGTGCATCAAACAGTTGACCTTTATGCCCAACGATTGATTAGGCAAGAGTGCCCACAGCTGCCCTGCTGGGGGACGGCACATGTCTGTCTCCTGTGATGTGGGTCACTGAGTTTATAATCACTCTCATGAGTGGACAAAAGCAGTGAGATTATATGCCATTCTTTCGTTTCTTTTGACAGAAAATTACAAGTCTAAATTTTATATAATCACTGTGGCTTCTTGTGTTTCTTCATTCATCTTCTTTGTACTACCTTTTTCATCTGCAGCCATTGCAGCCTTCTAAAAAAACAGAGTAACTATTGTCAACATGACAACTATATACTATAAGATCCCCAGTAAAAAATAAAATAAATACATAAATAAAAAAGGTTAGCTGCAGCTCACAACAACAAATATGTTGCCATGTGAAGTTAGGTTGCAGGTGATGCAGTGATGAACACTGTTGGTGATTTTGTAATATCGAAAAAGCTAAGATTACATATGAATAATATTGCCTATTAACAGTGACAGCAAGTTAAACATTTTAACTAAAGGAAGACAAGAGTGATCTATGACAATGCCACTGACTGTATCACAGTAATCTGCATTCAGAAGCAAACCTACCTTACAAAATGAAGCTATTCATCTAGAATATTACTGAAATTACTTTCTATACCACTACACAGCAGATCCAGATTTGGTAGTTTTGATTGCTTGGCATAGATTTCCAAAAAACATATTTCGAACAGCAAGCATGTATGATTCAAATATGAGAGTGTGCTAGCAACTATTTTTAGATGTGTTCCCTCAAAGTAGCTTCTCCCTTTAGACCCTCTGAGGTCACTGAGAGCATGGCGATGCACTGCTCAGCTACAATGAGGCTTGCAGGATAAACTTCAGACTGTATATCTACAATTGTCTTTAAAAGATTAGAAAAGTATCTATACTTATAGAAATGTATGAAAATCTGACATGACTGATTCAAGAATCTAAAATGCAAAAGAAACACAAAATGTTCAGAGGCTCCAGCTCTTTTTGGACTTTATCTGTGTACATGTCCGTCAGTGCAAACAGAATTGGACAAACTTTTAAAAGGTGCTGATGGAGATATATTGCAACAGACCATTACACAATGTTCAGATGTAGTTACGTGATCGATATACAAAAGAGCCAATTTTTTTTTTTTTTTTTTTTAATTTATGTTTTCTGAAACTTTCTGCCAAATCTCATTAAGAACTTCAGGCAACTGTGGCTCAGGAGGGAGAGCGAGTCGTCCACTAATCAGAAGGTTGGTGGTTCGATTGCCGGCTCCTCCCATGTCTAAGTGTCCTTGGGCAAGATACTGAACCCCAGATTTCTCCCGATGCTGTGCCATCGGTGTGTGAGTGTGTGTCAATGGGATTATTTGGTTTTTGATGAGCAGTTGGCACCTTGCATGACAGCCTCTGCCATCAGTGTATGAATATGAATGAATATGACATGTAGTGTAAAGCGCTTTGAGTGGTCGGAAGACTTAAAAGTTGCTGTATAGTGTTCTTAAACGTTATCGTTTCAGCCAATACAAGGTTATTGCTGTTTATTTATTCATTGCATGCGCTGTACTTGCCACCAACTAGACTGCAGTCCCAATTTAAACAGCAAATCAAACTCTGCATGAACCTTTGAATATTTGCAGTTCAAAGTCCATTATCTAACCAAAGTTTGTCAAATGTTATTTACGTTTTCATTCGTCTTGTAGTGGTGGAAGCAGAGCAACAAGTCTTTTACAAGGTACTATACTGTAAGTACTATAACTACAATTATTTAAACTGTTAAGATTAGCCTCATTCCCATTTAAAACATGAAATATAGTCCTAATGTGTATGGTATTGTGTTTTATAACTGTACTAAAATGTAATGTAATGTAATTAAATGAATGTAAAGATGACAACAACTGAAACTGCTCATCAAAAGTTGTTCCTAACTCTGATGCATTCATGGCAATGTTTGATCATGTGCACTGTCCCTGTTGAACAAACCAGTAAATAAAATGAACAAATCAACACTAAAGTACAAATCCAACCTTTGAGAAAATGCTGCTTTAAAGTATTGGTTTGTTTTTGGTCAGTATCATCAACGGATAAAGCCGCTGATAAGTTTATCATCTTTTCATCTTGAGGGACTTTGTGTTTGGAGCACGCCTTGATCACTCAGTGTTCACTAATGAGTCTCTATCAGTGACCTAATTCCACTGGAGCTGAGTGAACTCCATTGATTGACTTTAGGTTTTTACAGCAGTTCAAGAATATGAACTTGTGTCCGATTACGGAGCCATAAAACCTAAATTTAGTCAATATAATCTTTATTATTTTTAACTATGGATCCATTAAGCTATGAAATATGTTACCCAGATTCTAAGCCAAACTCCTTTAGTGTTTTCCATTATGAATCTTCACAATGAATCAGGGAATAATTGTTATTTATTGTAGCTAATAACCTAGATATGACCACAGTAAAATCACTGTGGCCACACATTTGATATCCTGATATCTCAGTTATATTAGAAGCAGTGAAGTATTATACAAGCAGTATCTGATAAGGCTTACTTTTAATATGCTTTAAGCGACCAAATTATCTTCCTATGTGCATTTGAATATAGATAAAATGCATTTTTAATGCAGCTAAAAGAGCACAGTTTGAAGAATTATCAGAATTGATCAGTTTTGTGAGTCTTTGAGCCATGAGTATCCTTTAAACCTTTTGCCTTTGTCCCTCCACACAGGAGGGTGGGGTGGACTTTGAGCATTCAAAGCACTGTCAGTGCCTCCCAGTCCTCTGACAGTGCCTAACTGAGGGTATAAAAGTCCCTAGCTGAAGCTGAGAAATCAGTCTCGTCTGAGTACTCGCCTAACCCAAGGGAGAGAGAGCTTCAACGAACCCATCATGGGGGACTCAAAGCTCTGCCTTTTGTTGCTCCTCAGTACATCTGCCTTGGCTTGTGAGTAGTTTGAAGAAAACATTTCTTTCAGTATTGTACATACTGGTAGTTTACCATTATATTATAGATTTTTGCAGTTAAAATTTGGCATGTGATCGTCCACTGTTATGTTACAAATATTTCCTAAATTGTATTGTATTCTTTTTGAAAAAGCTTTAAAAGTATCTTTAATTTTGAAATATAACTTTAAGGATATCATCCAAGCCCAATGTCAACTGGGATTGGCTCTAGCCACCCAAAGAATAAGTGGATTTTAGATAATGGATTGATGGATGTAAGAATTTGTCCTTAAAGTGAAGTTTTACCCATCTATGTGTGAATTCTACAATAATAATTACAACCTAGGAACTAAGGATTAGTGTGCTAGATGTTTTGTTGATTTAGTTATTTTTGTTTCAGCTGGATTATAATCACTAATAAAATGAATTATCTGAATTTCAGTTGCCCAAGATGAAGATCAGCCAACCTGCCTGTGTAAGTTACATGATACTGTGATCATGCTCATGTTAATCAGCTTATTTTGTTGATGTCCAGTCTATACATTTACAATATTTTATATAGTACAGACAATTCAAAATCTCTTCTTAACATTACTTTTTTCTTCTTCTAGTGGCCAAAAGGTACAAGACCCTGCACAAGTATGAATACCAATATGAAGCTGAATCTTTGAATGCCATCAATGGAGCCTCACAGCTCAAGAACGGACCCAAGGGCTCTTGCAAGGTACAAGAAAGATCTTTCACTATCATCTTTAGTCATCTGATTTATTTTTTCCATTCATCAGAAAGTGAGATTAAAAAAAACAAAAACATTTACCTTTTCTAACAGGTTGAAATTGAAGTGCCTCAGACCTGTAGTTTCATTGTCCGCACCACTGGTTGTAGCCTGAGTGAGGTGGTCGACATGGACGGAGACGGCAACCCCGTGTTCGGTCCTGCACCCAGCTCTGATGCCTTTGCTGCTGAAATGGAGAGGTATGTTACAAAAAGAAAATAACTGTTGTTTGTATGAAACTTTTATCACCAATCTGTTAATATGTTTGGAAATTTTGCACCAATCATTACATTTAAATGTCTCACCGTTTTTCTTTTAGATATCCTCTGAAGGTTGTAGTTGAGGGTGTGTACGATGTGAAACTGTACCCCGAAGACGGTGAGACAACAACCATCCTGAACATCAAGAGGGGTATCATCTCTGCTCTGGCTGTGCCTCTGCTGGAGGAAGAGAAGAACAAGAACATGGTAAATTGATCTATGAAACTATGAAAAATCTGCATATTGTAGTACCACCTTAAAATAAAACCATGCTGATATTTACAGTTTGAAAAAACACTGCTCATAGTATAGTCTACATTTGGTAAATTGCATATTGTAAATTGTACATTTTTCTCTAATCATTCATTTCAGCCCACCATCCATGGCAAGTGCAAGACATATTACAGTGTCAACGCTAGAGAGGACATTGCCACTGACATCAGCCTCGACAGGGATCTGTCCAGATGTGACAAATTTGTCCCCATGAGAGATCACACCAGCCCCCTGGCACTTATCACTGGCATGGTAAGATATCCAAACCTATCGAAATCATTCGCCATGGTAGCAACATTAACTTTTCAGTCAAATCTTCAACAGCTGAAAACAATGTAGCTAATGAAAGGTTCCACACTAGACACATTTATTGTCATAGTATACATCCAGTGTTGGATAGTTATTTAATCAAAATTACTATGCACCAGGTAATGTTATGTTTGTGAAGGCAACAAGAGTTTTTTTTTTTTTTTGAAATCTCAAAAATAATTAAGTTGAGCCAAAAAACCTAAAACTTTATGGAATGAAACATCCACTAAAAAAGTTTAACCACAAGACAAACTATATATACATATATATGTATGATATGTATTTATTCTAATTAATCCACTACATTAATATGATTATTTGTCTTTCAGCACTACCCTCTTGCCCAGCTGGTCAGAAGCTCACAGACCTGCAACTACAAGTTTGACAATGAGAAGAAACACATGATCTCTGGATCCTGCACTGAGAACCACATCCTCATTCCCTTCTCACACAAGTAAGTTAAACCTTGTACTAGACTCTATAAAATGATCCATTATGTAAGTGTACATACTGATATGTCTTGTGCAATAGATACGCAGTATGTTTAACCTTGCGTTGCCTCTCCACAGGGGAGAATATGGAGTTACCAATGTTGGAAAGCAAGAACTGACTCTGATTCAGGTTTCTCCTCACAATGAAAGAGTCTTTGATCGCAGTAAGTCCTTTATTTAATTTGTATTGTTGTGATTTGTTGTTTTTGTTTTGATACTACTGGTAAAATGAACGCATTATAACAATCTTGCTGGTGTATCATAGGTGACATTGTCAAGGGTCTTCACATGGAGGTTGTCGAGGACAGGAGTGTTGTCCAAGATAAAGATGCAGGTCTAAACCTCCTGAGAGAACTGGCAAATCTGCCTGAGACTGAAGGCGAGAGGAGGGCCCACCTCTTCCACAAGCTTGTCACCATGGTCCGTGGAATGAAAACTGAGACCCTGAATCCCGCCATTCCTGAGGCTCTTGCCGTGTCCCGTGTCTTGACCTACCAGGTTCTGGTCCAATGTGGAACCCCTGAGTGCAGCAGTGCCATCATGCAGATCCTCAGGACTTTTGACAGCTCTTCACTCGAGGTTGATGCTACAGTTTTTGCTCTGGGACTTGTGTCCAATCCCTCTGCTCTCCTGATCAATGACATGCTTGAGATGGCCAAATATAAGCCCAGCAAGCCCATCATGTATGCCCTGAGCAATGTTGTCAAGAGGTGAGTTAACTACACTTTATTCTAGGTTAAATATGTGAATTATATTTCAGCAGACATTTCCCCCCTTTGTGTACAATAAAATACACCAAATTGAATTCTAAATATTTATTTTTCTTGAACAGATTTTACAAAGCTGAAGAAAAACTGATCCCTGAGATTTACTCTGTTGCTGAGTTCATGGCTGCCCAGCTGGGTGACTGTTCTGGTGACAAGGACAACACTTTCATGACACTGAGGGTAAGTATCTTCCCATTTAGCTCAACATAGAATTGAAGGACAGGATTGAAAAGCATAAGCACAAACACCAACTTTAAATATCTGTAAAGTATTAAATTAAAATGACATATTTCCATCAAATATACTTTCTGCTAAAGTGTTAATTCTATATGTTTTGGTATGGGATTAGGTATTGAAGACACATTTAGATTTAAAAATAGACCAAAAGAAGAACTACTTCAGTACTTGGATCAAAGTAGGGGTTATAACTGCCAATTAAAAAAACTAAACTTAGAAACATGACTTTCTCTGGATGAGGAGGAAATTTATAATTATTTTTGTTTGTTCTAGGTTATTGGAAACATGGCTCCAGCTCTGGTACTTGCTGGTCCTGCACTCAGAGGCGCTGTCATCCAGTGTGTGAACCAACCTGCAGCTTCCCCGGCTGTCCAGCAGGCTGCCATTCAAGTGTACAGGCTGACTACAGTCCCCGAGGAGGCAAGTCAAATTATTTCAAAGGTTTGACACATTATTTGAAGAAATCTACTGTATGCTAATTCTGTTGATCTTGTTTGGTCACAGAACAGAGAAGTTATCATGCAAGTGCTTTTGGACAGTGCAAGCCCAATGCAAAAGCGCATTGCTGCATATCTGGTACTTATGAAGGACCCCCAGCCCACTGAACTGGCCCAGCTGGCTAATGCTTTGCCCAATGAGCAGGACCAACAAGTCAAGAGCTTTGTGATTTCCCACATTACCAACATTTTGTCCTCAACTGTGCCAGAGACTCAAGAGTAAGTAAAAAGCAATTGCAACTATATGTGTAGATATTTTTTAATTTGTTATACACTACGTGGTTGATGGTTGGTAGGTATCCCGATTTTATCCCCATCACTTGTTTAAATGTAAAAATGTTTTTATCTCCACAGACTCAGACAGAAGATTCTTGATGCCCTGCAGGGTAATGAGATCGGGGCCACTATGGACCCCACCAAGTTCTCTCGCAACTACAAGATCGGATCTCTGGAGGGCAACATGATCTTTGAGGGTACCAGTTACCTGCCCAAGGAGGCCATGCTTGAAATGACTTTGAAGGCATTTGGCTATGAGATTGATATGATGGAGGTAAACATTTTCATCAGTTTTAATCCAAATTATTCTTCCACACAATTTTTCAGTAAGTTAAGTTGTGACTTTAACAATATTGTCACCTTTATAGGTTGGTATGGAAGGCAAAGGATTTGAGCCAACTGTTGAGGCCCTGTTTGGAAAGAATGGATTCTTCCCTGATACTACCCTGAAGACAATGTACTTTGTCTCTGACAACATGCCTCTCAGAGTCAATGAGATCTTGCAGAACATACTGCCTGCTCTAAAGAGGGACAGGATGAAGAGACAGGTACTAAGACCAGTTTGTTTTGTCCACATTAATCAAGACTTAAAAATCACAGCAATTATGTCATCGATCAAATCAAATCTTATAAATGAGTGTCCATATCTATGTTCAGGCCTCCCAAAACCTGATGAGGGACATTGGACGCAACCTGAACAAGCTCGTGAAGGAACTAAAGACAGCAGAGTCTCCTGAGGCAATGGTTTATCTGAGACTTTTGGGAAATGAGCTGGGATATCTGAGGACCAACGAAATGGAAGAGATGGCCTACTCTGCTGCCATGATGATTGACAGCATGTTAAAGATGTTCCCTGCTGATGTAAGAGTTCAAGTTATTAGTTACCTTTAAAGAGAAAAGCTGACAATGAAGCAATGCATTAAGTTAGAAATTATTGTTTATAATTTATATATCCTATGTGTATTATTATTTGCCACAGCTAATGCAGTCACTGATGACCAAGGCTGACAACACAATCTTTGCCCACTACATCTTCATGGACAATGAATTCTTCCTGCCTACTGTCACTGGTGTGCCTCTGAGGATTGCACTGTCTGGTACTTTCACCCCTGGAATCAAGGGTGGACTTAAGATTGCTGCTGACATGGTAATTGTCTTTAAAATTCTTTGCAAAAATTAGTTTTACAGCTAACTAAGTGAATGGTATTGAACACAATCAACACAACGAGTCACCTACTGTATGTCTACTGTGTTTCCACAGAGCGAAGTTACCTTCATGCCCTCTGCTGGCATTGAGTTTGTAACTCAGGTTGGTTCCCACATCCCTGAATATGTCAACTCTGGATTAGAGATGCACACCAACATTTTCCATGAAAGTGGAATCAGTGCAAAGATCTCCATGGAACGTGATAATGTCAAGTTGACCATCCCTGCTCCAATGAGTCCTACAAAACTCATCAAAATGACGTAAGTCTAAAGAGAACATTCAGATATGCAATGTTCTGAAAAAACACCATCACTAATAATGGAGAAAGAAACAGTCAGAGTATAAAGGGGACAATGTTATTTAAGAAGGGAAAGTTCAAAATTGATGTGTCCTTAGTGTAAGTGAAACAATTCTTTCACCATGTATTTGTGGCTACATAAACATAATTTAGGGTATATTACACTGTGTGTGTGGTTGCAACAAACTTACATTTAAATTAAAACAGGCAAAATTACATTAAAACACATTTCAAATTTAGAAATACCCTGGTGGCAGTGACTGGATCAGAAGTGAAGACCATTCCCCCTATGGTGATGGACAAGGTTGATGTCAGTGAGTGCACTCCTGTCTTTGCTGGAATGAAATACTGCACTGCTCTGCAGTACACTGATGCTTTCTCACAGGAGACATCTCCCTACTTCCCCTTCACTGGAGACAGCAAGTGAGCAAAACCTTCTTAACCACCAGGAATTTATTGTGCTGAATTTTATAAATGATTTGCCTATGAATTTTGGCTAATTGATTGATTTATCTGAATAGATTTGCTGTGGAGCTCCACCCTACTGGTGAAGTCACTGAGTACACAGCCACTGTTGCCTACGAGCTCCTCAGAGAGGGAGAAGAGGGCCGGCAGAAGGTTGACTCTGTGAAGTTTATTCTGAGAGCTGAAGGTAATGTACAGTACAGAAAAATATTTTTGATTTATAACTCACTCAATTTGAAAAAGCTCTGAAGTTTAATGGAGTTATGTAATATTAATCAATTGGTTGGCCAACAACAGGTGCAGAGCCCACTGAAGCGAGAGCAATCATGAAATATAACAGAAGGAAGAATGTCATCACAGCTGACGTCCAGATCCCTGACTATGATGTGGAGGCTGGACTCAGGTTGGGTGTGGTTGATGGAAACACCAAGGGCAAAGGAACTCACTCCATCTCTCTTGACTTCATAAACAAGAACATTCCTCAGCTCTCCCTGGTTGGTCGTGCCAAGTAAGGAATCAACCGTAATTCCTCATGATATAACACTAATGACACCCTCATAATTGAGAGTATGCTAAATCACTGTAACATTTTTCAGTCTGAAGGCCATGAAGGAAGGTATGCTGCAAGTCCAACTTCTTGTCCCCTCAATCAATGCTGATGCCACCGTCACAGCTAATATGAAACGTGATGAAGAGTTGGAACTGGAGCTCAAGAGTGAAATCAAGGTCATGAGCGCTACCTCTGAGCAGAAAATTGCAATGAAATATGGTAAAGTAATATTTTCTTTACCCTTTTTTCAGAATATTAAATCAAAATGTAATACTTGCTTCCGCTTAGACAGGTTCATATAACTCTGAGTCACATCCTAAACATTACTAAATCTGTCATTGTCAGAAATGACTTTAATTTTTGGGACCCACAAGATGAGCCAATCACATGGCATTGTTGACAATTTAAAGGCTACTTAGTTTTAGGGGGAAATTAATGAGGCAGAATGAAGATTTTGATTATTATTTTTTTATTATCCTGTAGATACTGTGGTAATCAAAGCCAAAAACATTTGAGTTACAAACCTGCAATTGTGTTTTGAGAAAATTCCAAAATTTGATTTTGTTTACTCCTAGCTTAACTCTAACAACTACTTCATGTCTCAGTATTAATTTTATTGTACTCTGTTGTTGCAGATGCCAGCAAGATCGAGGTTGAGTTCAAGTCTGATGTAAACACTGACACCACCAGCTTGCCAAATTCTGACATGCTTCAGACATATGGAAACCAACTTCTTGACATGCAGGTGGGGCAGACCGACATGAAGGTCCGTCACATCTTCAAGAAGTTTGTAGAGGTATGAATCTTGGAATAACAATCATTCAGACTTTCTCTTGTAAAAATGTGAAGCATGCATAAAACACTGTCTTTACTTCTTAGGCAGCAAACAACTACATGGAAAAGTATGGGGCTGATATGCCTTACATTCAGAACTTCAGAGTACCGGATATGCCTGAAATTTCCCTGCCAGAGACACTGTTCCTGAATACGTAAGTGTAAACAACTCCATGATGCATGTTTAAGTTGTGTGAACATTTATGCATTTAAATGTTCTCTTTTTAACAGAGAGGCAAAGGCTGTCTACTACTTGAACAATGAGCGCTTCACCATCGCTATCCCTCTCCCTCTTGGAGGAAAGTCCACAGATGAGCTTAACTTCCCACCAGCTTTGACCACACCTCGCATGTCTCTACCCCAGTTTGGACTGGAGATTGTCTCCATGGAGATTCCCATCCCAGAGCTTGTTGTACCTGAGAGCCTTACTCTGTCTATTCCTCTTTTTGGAAAAGCTGAAGTTTCAACTCTGATGAGGAGTAACCTATACGACATGGAGGCCTCAATGGCTGCCGGCAAAGATGTTGTGGAGACGCCAAGCTACTCAGCTAAGTTTGATGTGAAAGGAACCTCCCCACTTGACATCCTCTCAATAAAGATTGAAGGTATTTCATAGTAAAGGTCATTGAGCAATTAAGAATGCACATTGTTATCATTAACTGACTGATTTGTTTTTCACTCTTGGTTGAACTAGTAAATGAATCTCAAAGCTTTGTCAAAAAGCAATGCAAATATCAGTTATCAATCTTATTTTCTTCTTTTGTGTTTTATTTAGGCTCTGGAATGTTGGCCACCACTGATTCCATCAAGGCCCAGTTGAAAAGCTCTTTGGCACACAAATTCATTGAAGTCAGTATTACTATTGTTGAGGATGCAACAATCTCAGACAAAATCAATTTGAGATCAAGCAGCAAGATTGAAGCCACAAGCCCATTTGGTCTCAATATTGCTCTAGAGCACACTGGTATGTCTGGAATCAACACTGAAGAAATCTCTGCTGATAGCAACTTCGAGGGAATGTTCAAGGCTGGACCCATGTATGGCAAGACCATTTCGACCCAATCATTCAGCATCTTTCCATTCAGGCCAGAAGCAAAGATTGATTCTTCTGTTCAGATTGACTCCACCATTATTCAGGCCCAGAACACAATTGCAGCAACCCTTGCCAATGGGGAATTCTCTGTTGTGTCTAACACCAATGCCTTTGAAGACATCTTGACCCATGTTGCTGAGCTTTCCTTCAAAGACAGCAAGCTGTCACTGAAATGTGATGCAAATGCCCTTGCTCTTGGTATGAAGATCCGCAACCAGGCTGAAGCCTCTGTTGGTGCTGGTGAAGTTGTCATGAGAATGGAGACAAATGCAGATCACTCTGAAAACCGTGTTTACTCTCTGCTGACTGCCTCTCTTGATGTTAATGGTCTGGCTGTAAACAGTGATGCCACTGTGAAGCTCCTTGAGAATGAGGCTATACACAAAGCTACACTGAAAATGAACAAGGATGGTATGACCACAAGTGGAACAAACACCCTCCAGAGCCCCCTTGCCTTGGAAAACACCTTCGATGCTGGGCTTGATGCTTCAAGAGCTACTCTATCCATCACTAACAAGGCTGCGATGCGTGACATCAAGGTTGATAATGCCAACACTTTGACCATTACTCTCTCTAGCTTTGACTTCAACTCAAAGACTGAAGCCACCGCAAGTGAGTATGCCTCATACACTCATGATATCACCATCGACCTGAAGCCCTACACTGCCTCTGCAAATGTTAACAACAACTTGAAAGTTCTGTCGGCCAACTTCATTAATGAGGCTCAGCTGCAGGCAGAGCTGTACAAGATGGACCTGACTGGAAGCCTGAAAACCATCTATGGTGAGGAAGAGATCAAGCACACATATCAGGTAAATTATGCTGATATGACTGCTAATGCAAAGTGCAGCACCACTGGAAAAGTCTTTGGCACTCACATGAGCCACAACACAGAGCTTGAAGTTGTCGGTCTTGCTGCCAGACTCACCAATGATGCCCGCTTCAACTCTCAGCCAATGCGCTTTGACCACACCATCCGTTGCAGTATTGTGCCTTTTGATTTCAACCTTGATGCCATTTTCAATGCCGATGGAGACCTGACCATGTATGGAAAGCACAGTGCCCAGCTCTATGGCAAATTCCTCCTTAAAGCACAACCCCTGGCTTTTGCTAGCTCACATGAATGCAGAGCATCAGTAACCCAGCAGCTAGATAACGGGTTTTCCCTTGAGACCACATTTGACAACAAGATGGATAATGTTCTGTCACTCCAAGAGCAGAAGACAAGTTTTAGAATGAAGTCTAAAGTGAATGAGCATGCCTTTAATCAGGACATGAATGTTTACAACACTGCTGAGAGAACTGGAATTGAGGTTTCTGGCACCATCCTCACAAACATCCTCAACACAGACTCCACAGACAACCAAGAATTTGCCATCTCTGGATTCGTCAAGTATGACAAGAACACAGATAGTCGTATAATTCAGTTCCCACTAATTGAAAATCTACCTGCCTTCTTGGAAAGCGTCAAGGGCTTTGTTGTGCGTATTGCAGAGGCAATGCAAGACTACCTCAACAATGAAGAGATCAGAGCTAAACTTGAGGCTCTTCCCCAGTATGTAAGTGACTTTATTTCTCAACTGAATATGGAAGACAAACTAATTCAGCTGAAGCAGTATTTCAGTGATTTTACCCAAGAATATGTCATCTCCATGGAGGATGTGGAAGCCTCTTTGAGAAACCTGAAGGTTACTGTTGAGAAACTGATGGCTGATCTTACTGTTTACATCCAGCACTTTGCTGGTATGATGAAGGAGATTATTGTTAGTGGCACTCTGCCTGAAACCCTCATTCAGAATATCCAGCAACTGCTGAATGCCATTAATGAGGAGTATGACATCCAGGCTGTGGTTGTGTATATGATTGATACCATGAGGGAGATGATCCAGCAGATTGACCTGGAAAAACTGAAGGGCAGCAGCATTGCATTCCTATATGATATTGATGCCAAGTATGAAATCATGGCTAAACTACAAACAGTTATGAGTGATGTGAAACAAACAATTGAGACCTTTGACATGCAGACATTTGTTGCTGAACTGAAGAGCTTTATCACATCCGTCAACTTTAAGGCTTACATTGATGTAGTAGTGAATCAGATTCCCACAGAGATTTTCAGCGATATAACAGAGTATGTTAGGAAAATGATTCAGGACCTTGACATCGTAGGAAAGATCAACGCATTCTATGCCAAAATGAGAGAGTTGATTGTGAAGTTTGAGGCTGACAAAAAGGTTCAAGCCATCTTGGAAAAGGTTATGGAGCTTATCAAGCAGTTCAAAATTGAGGAGACCATCAGTACTGTTGCCAATAGGTTGAAGGCCCTAGACATTCTTCCCGAATTCATGAAACTCTTCCAGTATTACATCAACTACTTGAAAACAACAGAGGTAAAGGACATGATTCAAGAGCTGAATGTCTTTATTCAAACTATTGTGAATGGGCTTAAGTCGTTGGACTACAATGAGTTCGTGGATTATGCCAACAGATTTATTGCTCAGTACACAGCTTACATGAATGAGCTGATCAAGTCTCTCGAAATCCCCCAGAAACTTGATGCAGCAAGAGATTTGGTCAACCTTGTCTTATCCTCTGGTAGAGGCTTTGTGGAACGCCTGAGAGAAATCAAAGTTGCAGAGATTATTAAATCTGTAAAGGAAATCATCGACCAGCTTGTGTTTGATAACCTTAAGGGATTTGCTGAATATGTAAAGCAGGGAATAACAAATATTGATGTCACAGCTGAGATTACATCTTATCTTGACTTAGTGAGCAAATTCTACACAAGAGTCATGACCATCACCACTGACATGTTCAACAATATGGTTGAGATGATTAAAAACGTCTTACCTGAGCAAAAGATAATCAGCGAGATTCAGCAAATCATTAATGGACTAATTACTGAACTTAAGAAAGCTGAGTTGAACCTGCCATCTTTCATTATTCCTTTCACTGATTTCGTTGTGCCCTCAATGAAATTCAGCATGGATACGCTTGGACAGTTTGAAATCCCAACACAGCTGGATATCCCTGAGTTCACCATCTTGGGCTTCTACACCGTGAAAGCCACCACAATTTCCTATGATGACATCAAGCAGAGAATTATTGAACTTATTGATTTCATTGTAAACTTTGAGATCAAGATGGTTGATGTGGATGCTTTCTTTGGAGACCTGGCAATGAATTACCTTCCTACCATGCCTGAGATAATCTTCCCAGAAATTACTCTTCCTGATATCTCATTCCCTACCATTCCACAAGTTCCTACAGAAAAGCTTGTGAAGTCTCTTCAGCTTCCTGAGATCCAGCTGCCAACCATTCCAAGTGAGATCATGGTCCCATGCTTTGGTAAACTCTATGGTGAGATGAGATTCCAGACTCCCATCTACACTGTCAAGACAACTGCTGAGTTCCAGAACTCCACTGAGAGCGAAATGACACCTACATTCACTGGATCCCTTACTTCCCAGGCCACATCTCCAAGTTTTGAAATTCTTAATTACAAACTTGACTCCACTGCTCGTCTTGCAATTCCAAAAATGAGTCGTGTTGTCTTTGCAGAGACTCTTAAGTTGAACCATCAAGTTCTTGGATTTGAACATCAGGCATCTGTAACGCTCTATGGCCTATCAGCTCAGGCCCAAGCCAAAACTACAATTAAGGTTACCACTTCACCTTACACTGCTGACCTTATGAACACAGCCTTTATTGCTATGGAAGAAGGAATGTCTGCCTCTCTCGACACAACTTACACTCATTTAGTGAACCTCCCAATTATCGAGGTCAGAAGCGAGGCCACTGTATCCCAGAAAGCAATTGCTCGTCAAGATGGCTACACCTTCACTCTGACAGTTGACAATTCAGGCAATGGCAAATTGAATGCAGAAGATGGCAACCACAAGAGCAACATGGAATTGTCACTCACTCCTAGCATTGCCACTCTAACTTTTTCAGGTGACACAGACTCTTCTATCTTAAAACTGAAACAGCAAATTACTGCTGAATCTGGCACCTTTACCTACTTCAAGTTCAACATCCGCAATGAGGCTGAGGCACCAGTTATTAAGAACAGTCTTTTTGTGGCATCTGGACATGCCAGTCTTTATGATATGAAGGTTGAGCTGAAAGCAAACCATGACACAGAACTGTCTGGTGAAGTCAGTGGAGTCCTGTCCAATGGAATCAACATTGTGGCCTATCCTGTTGAGTTTGTCTTTGAATTCCAAAACAAGGGAAATACCAAGGTCAATATTTTTAACACTCTGACTGCTAAGGTAGATCTGCAGAACGATTACTCAGTCATCTTTAAACCTGACAGCCAACAGATTAACACCGTGGCTCTGGCTCGTCTTAATCAGTACAAAATTTTCTACAATTTCACGGTTGACAATAATGGAAATGAGGCTGGCATCTTTGTTGCCATGGAAAGTGAAGCCAACCTTGACTTCTTGACATCTCCAATCAGCATTCCTGAAATTGACCTTCCTTTTGTTGACTTCCGTACTCCAGCTATCAGTGATCTAAACTTGTACGAGCAGACTGGATTGAAGAACATTTTGACTACCACTGAGCAGAGTGTTGATGTGGATGCTAAGATTGTTTACAAGAAAAGCCAGGCGGCCCCCCTTGTTGATATGATGGGTCTGATCCAGATTCCCTCCGTAGGTAACCTGATCACAGAGCTGTCCTTCAAGTCTGCCATCATTAATCTAAATGTTAATGCTGGACTGTATGCTGAGGATGATCTTGTGTTCCGTCTGGGAGCTATCACAGCCTCTGTGTTTGAAGGTCTAAAAGCCAAACTTGATGGTACCACCAGTCTGACCACCAAGAGAGGAATCAAGTTGGCCAATTCTCTGTCTCTTGAAAATCGTCACATCGAAGGCACTCATGACAGCACCATCAGTATGAGTACTGAGACTTTTGACACTGCCGTCTCTGTGGCCACTGTTGCAAAAATTGCCCTGCCTATACTGAATCTGGAAGCCAACCAAAATCTGGTTGCAGACACAAAAACCAAACCAAATGCTGCCTCCACCTTGAGGATGAAGGGTGATTTCAACATCCCTGTGATCAAGGCTGTTGGAAAGGCTGAGGTAGACCACACTCTGAAGTTGGAAGGAACCTTTGAGGAAGTTTCCGTGGAGGCAGCCACTAGGGCAAACATGGATGGCACAGTGCTTGAAGACTATTTAGTTTTGGGAGTTCTGGATAATGAAGTTAATCTGTACCTGAATAATGATGGCCTACGCTCCACCTTCAAGGTTATTGCCAATGCCAAGCTTAACTCTGGCACCACAAAAGTAATTGACATGGATGTAAATGAGAATCTCTCTGTTGAAGCTTCCCTTGGTCGTGTGTATGCAGTGCTAAAGTATACTGGCAACAATGAGGCAAACTTGTTCAACTTCAACACCAATGGGAAGCATATTGCGCAGGCTACGATTGATCTTGCTCCAACCTCTTCCTTGACTGCTGATATTGAGATTGATATTTCTCAGCCAAGCAGCCTGGGTGAGTTCACCATCTTTGAGAAAACTGTTGCTGAAGTGACAGCTGATAAGCAGAAGATGTCAACCAATGTCAAGTTTGTCAGCCCACTGTACACCACAAACATGGCAGTTGAAGCCGAGGGCAATGCTCCTGTCTTCAAAGTCACCTTTAAGTCTTCTGCCACCTCTACCTTCGTCTTCCTGGAGTATGACCTGGATGGTGAGTTAATGAAATTCCCTGAACATGTTTATCTGTTTTATGTAAGCATTGTTGAACACTAAATCTTAACTAAATCAAATTTAAATTTTTAGCTTTGACGAACACAAACTTTGAAAATGAAGCTCTGAACATGATTAGCAAGGCTGTCCTGACACACGCTGACCTTACCATGGATGTCAACCATGTCATTACCCAAGCCCTGAGGTAACATTCTGAGTTTGTTTTACTATATATTTTAAACAATTACTTTCGATATTCAATGTTTAAAGTAGTTAACTCTAACTCTAATGAATTCTTCTTGAAATTTTAGGAGAAAGCGTCAGGCTGATGACAGGTAAATATTAAATCTTAATAAGATTCCCTCCGAATAAATATCAGGTCAAGAATTTACTGTGATTTTTTATTTGAATTGCTTTCATTCTCTTTCAGTACCTCTCGCCATACTCTGAACGTGGACATCACCAGTCCTACTTTCACCGATGTCAACCTTCGTTATACTGCTGGCAGAGATGGCATCAGTGCCTCAGTATCTACCCCCTCAACTGGCTTCCTCGGCCTTCAGTTAAATGGAAGAGTCCCATCTCAGATGAGTGCAAGAGTCTTTGGTCGTTATCCTGTGAGTATCAATAACTTTACCTTTTTGATATGATTGAAAACTATATACTAAAATCCAAATATAGCTAAAACAATATTTTATTTTCTTCTATTCGACAGTCTGCCCCAGAGGTTGAACTTGACATGTTGGTCATCAGGGCATCTTCTAAGGATGCTGATAAGATGAACCTGCAGATTGCCTACAACATGGAGATACCCAAAGAAATTCTCTCCGAACTCAAGTTGAAACTCCCCTCCGTCATCAATACATTGAATATGTTTGCTAACAAGTACCAGATCACAAGCAACATTGAGGCGTTGAAGGACTCAATTGTTAACCGCATCAGTGAGGCCTATAATGCTGCAATCAACTACGATGTTCAAATGAGCCAGCTGTCAGTCTTCTTCAGGAACATCATTGTCCAATACCAGAAGACTGTCCAGGTCTTCTTGGATGCTGCCATCAAGGTCTTGAGGGAGACCCAGTTCAAACTGCCTGGGTCTGAAGAGATGACAACCCTCCCTGAGGTCCTAAAGAGGCTGACCAGCAGCATTGCTGCTACGCTAGAAATGATCATCCAGAGTATCTATCAGAACACTGAGGTCTACTATAACTACTTTGTTGAGATGATCAGCAGTGTGAAATTGCGCATGCCAGTTGGTGATGCAATCACAGGAAACCAGATCTTGGATCAGGTCAAAACAGCTTCCAAGCAGGTCTTTGATGAACTGGTAGATTTTGTGAAAAATATGGAGAGTCTTGACACAATGCTAGTGAAGACGGGTGAGACCCTGAAGGCTGTTGTTGAGAAATCTCAGGAGTTTGTTGACTCTGTCAAGTCTGACTATTTGGATGCAGTGTTTGTCAACATCAATGTCGTCTATCGTAACATTATCACAGTTGTAAAGAATGTTGTTGACGAGATCTCTGCTTTAAGTTCGGAGCGCCTCTTCAATGCATTTGAATACATTATAGACATGTTTGTCTATGTAGTGGACCAATACAATAACACTGTTAATGGTATCCTGCAGCAGGCTTCAGCAGAGGCTCAAGCCTACATGAAAGTTAGTGACGGAAGGCTTGAGATTGAACTTCCATTCCCCTTCCAACAGTAACAAATCCTCACAAGTCCATATGAAACACTACCTAGTTCTTTAACCATATTTATAACAGTGACTTTAACAAAAACACCTGTTGTATCATTTTAATTTAGATGGTTTACTGTGTACAAACCTTGAAAATGTAAAGTTTTACTAAAACTCTTCTTCCTGCAAAGACTGAAAAGCATCAATAAAATACATTAATGCAAGCTGCAAATGTCTGATTTCCTGCTTCATGATGGGGCTTTTTTTGCAATTCACAATCAAACTTGAGAGCAACTCATCAAAGAGTATTCCTTTTATTTGGTCATTCAGGAATGTATTGGTACTTTTTAGATAACTGAAGATCCTTGAAATTGACTATTTAGCTAAATCAATCAGGTTGTTAATTCACAAATTATTAGTGATGGTAGTAGCAATTTAAATTCTTCTAGACTATTCTATTTATGTAGTGTACATTTCTCATCTAAATATGCAGTAGGTATTTTCTATAGCAACTGCACTGTCCCTGCTGCTCCATGAGAGGGAGTTACTAAAGAGCTACACAATAAATTGTAGAGCTGGCAGATTTGCTATTTGGTAAGAATGAATAGATTCTGTACAGAAGGGCATAACTATAGTATGATTTTAGCTATAATGGTTGATGAATCATAACTGACTGAGGAAAAGTCAGGGGGTCATTAAAGTCAATGGGATCCATCCTCTGGGCACAAAGATTCTTAGCAGTCCATCCAATAGTTGGGCCGATTGACTAGCCAACTGAAGGACTTATCACAGATAGTCTGAGTACAGTTCAGTGTTTACAGTATATCATAAGAATTGTCGATTAAAGAAACAAACAAGAAACAGTTAGATTTTGAAAGTATCAAACTGAGTCTCCCTCTAAAGCCACTCCCCCAACACACATGAACACACACTGCCTGACTACTGCTGGAGAACGAGTCCATGAGAGAGCATAGATGAGAGCAACCCATCTGGGTTGCTCAAGCCCCTACCCTCTTTTGGGTGAAAGCAGTCCATAAAATACCATAAAATAAGAATACTGTATTGCTTTTTAGCTATTAGGAGGCCAAAATCTTATGGCCAACAAGGCAAACAACCATGGTATGTCATTGCCAATCAATGATCAGCATCATTATATAGAACCAGAAATAGGGACTGATGAGTGTCCTTTCAGTCTGCCTCCATCACTGTAGATGGAACTGACATATACAACCACCTTATTGAATGTCATATTTCTGACATCTGTTACTGTTTCTGCTATTAAGAATTTCTTTTTCTGTTTTGGTTGTCTGTCCAATGTTACAATTAGAAGTGCAAACTATTGTAGGTACAGGTGGAACTCTACATTTTGACTAGTCTTTCTCTGCCAGTCTTATGCAACTAGCGTTTTAGCTTTAGCAATATCTGCGTGGCTGGCTTGTGGAAGACTTTGGTCATGCGCAATGAGTGCAGGGGCAGAGTGCATGGAGGAAGGCAGGCCGGTACATGGAACAAACAGGTCAGCTGTGGGTTTATTAAATACCTGAGTCTACTGCATAAAGCAGTCTAAAAACAGAGCTTTTGCTTTATTGATTATGATTATTAATTGGGATATAATATAAATGTCAACAAATATAACAAAAATGCTTCTGAAATACCTGAAGTATTTTTCTGTGAGCGGGTCCTCCTTTTGTTGATCTTGTACATGTAAACAAGGACACTAGTGCACAACCCGTTCATACAATACGCAATCCTACCAATGGTTTCACAGTATGATCTACAGGAGGTGATAACATGCAAAGATATGCAGCAATGCCCAAGTAACCTGACTGCGGCAGATGGTTTGTTACAAAGAACCATTTGGGAAGTTGTTGTTGGAAAAGGGCAGGCACTTTGAAAAAATACTTGGATGAACCATCTATCTATCACCATCCATCACAGACACGTTTCAACCAATCAGATCAACAAACCATACCATGCCAGACGAGATAAAACATCTTTTCCATCGAGAGTTAGTGCCATTCTCTGCTTTTCTTTACAAGGAGAAATACTTTCCAGTTCCGATATAATTAATGTTAGCAGCATCTGCTAACTTATATGTGCCAACCCCAGTTTTTCCTCTCAATGCAATTTCAGTTCAATTCAGTTTTATTTGTATAGCGCCAATTCATAGCAAAATTAATCTCAGGACACCGTTTTCAAAAGTAACTGTTACTTTACTTATTACTTCCTGCCAACAGTAGTTACACTACTAGTTATATTACTTTTCTGTTACTCCCCACAAAATTGGCAATTGTGGCCTTTCTAACCAAAATACAGACTTACAATTAAAATCCAGTTGTTGTTGTTTTAAAACAAAGTAATAGGAATAATTCCAGCTGCTGAATGTAAGCGTTTCTATCTTCCAAGCTAGCTTCCTCCTACAAAAATGAAGTTGTTGCTAATTATTTTTTGGTGGGGTAATTAGTAATTAGTTACACTACTAGTTACTTGGGAAAGTAATGTTATTACAGTGATATAACTAGTAATGAGTTACTGTCCAACATTGACCATCAATTCAATTCAATTCAATTCAATTCAATTTAATTTGTATAGGACCAATCATAACAAAGGTTATCTCAGGACTCAGGAGACCCAACAGACACAAATTGGTCTGGTACCATGTAGTTTGGCCACAAACACATAGATTGAAGCCTAGATGGATTCTTATATGATCTTATGATTTCATGATCTCACTAGGCAAGCTGCCTCACAAGGTTAATGTGCAAGAAAAAATTGATGTAAAAAATGTTGGATTCAAAATACTACTAAAAATGTCATGACTCCTGCCCTGTGATTGTGTAATTGTGTGGTTTTGTTTTCTACCTTGGTGTGAGTGAGGTGTGCTTGTTGAGTTTGTCTGTCTGCTTGTTATGTTATATATATATAGTTATAGATTACTTTATTAATCCCACAACGGGGAAATTCACTTGTCACAGCAACATTTGAGTGAAATACAGACGAATACAGATAAAAAAGCTATGGTGAGTGGTAAAAGCTATGGTATGGTGGTAATTTGAAAACAGAAACTACAACATGATCAGGTGTTATAGAGTCTGACAGCGGCAGGGATAAAAGACCTGTGGAACCTACTAAGGGACCCCACAGTGTCATGTAGGGGGTGAGAGGAGCTTAACTAACATCCTCTTCTCACCCACTTCCTCTGGAGTCCAGAGGACAGTCCAGGACGGAGCTCACTCTCCTGATCAGTTTATTGAGTCTTTTCCTGTCCCTGTTCATACTGCCCTCTCTCCAGCAGACCACAGCATAGAAGATGGCTGAAGCCACCACAGAGTCATAAAAAGTCCTGAGGAGAGCCCTGCACACTCCGAAGGACCTCAGTCTCCTCAGCAAGTGGAGGCAACCCTGGCCCTTCATGTAGAGAGCCCCCTTGCCCTCTCTCTCTCTGTCTCCACTCACGTGCTGGACACCCACAATCAAGCACACCTGCCTTCAATCAAGACTGCACCTCACCACTATAAGAAGCCTGACTGACATCCAGTCCCTGCCGGATCGTTGCACCACACACACAGTATGTTGTGTGCCGCGCATTAGCTCCTTTGAACTTGTTGCCAGTGTAGTCTTTTGTTTGCCAGCCTGCTACCAAATTCTTAAAACGGTTTCCTCTGCCACCAGATTCTCCTGTCTGCCAGCTCTCCACACCTCTACCACCTTCACCCCTGGACCCAAACCCCAGACTCCAGCCAGCTTCCAGATCACCTATCTTCGCACCAAAGAAATGAAGACCTTGTGTTCACTACTTCCAGTCTCAGTCTGCTTTTGGGTTCAACCTCAGAATTGTAACAAAAAATCTGCTTTGCAAATGTTCTGTTTGGAAGGAAATGCACTTGACACGTTTGTTAGACATCAAGGATGAACACAAAACATTTTGGTGAGGAACACTCAATGTAAACATAATGTTTGGTTGTTAACAAGAAAACTTCACAGGGAAGCTTTAAAGTAGTCTGTTGCCCTTCCAGGATAGAGCAAGCAAAGACTAATGATCATTGTTGTCATTGCCATCTAGTGGTTGTCATTTGTCAAACCAATATAGGCTCATATGGTGGGGCACAGAGCGACTGCAGGTTGTATGACCAGGGGAAAGATATGGACTGAAACTAAGTTGAAGGAATGTGATTTATGTGAGTTTGCTGATTCTTTTGTGCTGAAATATGTTTCATGACAAAATTTCAACTTGGATCATTTTAGTTCAGTCAGTTTTTTTACAAAACTTGTATAGATGGCAAATACAATTGCCTTTTATGATGTGCCATAAATGAACAAAAAGATGTATTTTCATAAAGAAATGAACACAGGTCACTGACCCAGCTGGACAACAGAAAAAACATAACAGAAACACATCACATTAATGTTTTACTCCTACTACATAAACAAATAAAAAACAAACTAACCAAAAAAATAAACTGTACCTCACCTTACCTCTCCAGAATTTATATAAAAATAATATATTTTAGACCTTAGAGTTTTTAAAATGTGAGCTAATCTGCTCAGTACTGTTTAGACGTTAACAAATCTGACTGACAGCAAACAACTGTCAGCACATAATTTTGTTCAGTGTTGCTACATATTGATTGGTGCTCAGAAATACATGACATCACCTTTTTCCAACTCAGCCCCAACCCACTTAAAACAGTAAGAAAGATTAGGACAAAAGCTCTCAGAATTGTCCAAACTAGCAGAAAAGGCTGTGTTCATGCAGGACCCCATCAATCAAAAATAAATAAATACCTGATTGAATGCTTTTTTTAGAATGCAAAAATGTCTCAAATGCCTATGCTAATACAAGATTTGTGTGATGTTTTGTATATTATTTGCATCTCTAGAAGAGCCATACCTTATTTAACTATACCTTTGGTATGGGTTCAAGTATCTTATGATAAGGATATTTCTATCCAAAAAAGATAACCAGTTCCAAGAATATAAAGCGTGATTGTATGTGTGCAACATCATGCCTATACAGCGGACAGAGACTGTAGTCCAATGCTCCTTTGACAAGAGCTTGATAACAAACTGTTCAAGTTCAGTGTTATAACCCCTTATCAGTGGCTAGGAGGCACAACTCCACAGTTTTTGTGGGTTGTGCTTTTGAATGAGCACACACTGTATTATTATGCAATTTATGGTTTTGAAGTTCATACACCAAGTAAAATTGACAAATTGAAAATGCAGGGAATGTTTTAAATCTTTAATACTGAAAGTGTAATATTGAGAATTGGGTTTCAATTATGTTTAATGCTGAGATAAGTTATAGAAGCCATAATATCATGGGACTGTATCCCATGCAAATGTACTTAGAAGTAGACTGAAATGTGCTGCTTGAGATGTAATTTGTTTTATTTTGTAAGATTATTTTCTAGGGCTTTTATTGCCTTAATGTGATAGTGATAGCTGCAGAGTGACACAAGAGTGGGGAGAGAGACGGGGGTGACATGCAGCAAAGAGCTGCGGGTTGGAATCAAACCTGGGACCTTTCTACATAGGGCGCAAGCGTTACCAGGTGAGTTACCAGGGGGCCCAAGAAGATGTAATTTTAACATAAACCTTTAAAAAGGTATCTCTTAAGCATTCACTATAATGAGACATTTGAAAACCTGCAAGTATTAATAAACTCACAACTATTAACTGATGTGTGACCTAAGAAGCAAGAACAAGATAATATTGGTGTTATATTATTATACTTTAACATTTTAAAATGCCTTTTTTTCTTATGCACAATACTACTTCAGTGTGTTCAAACATTTCTGCACAAAAATACAGATTCTAAAACTCATATTCAACAAAAGTTTCATGAAACTAGTTGCCTTTGTCCTTCCACACATACATATAGAGTGGACTTTGGAGCTGATACTGTACTCTATGTAATTCCCACCTACCCTCCATATGGAACACTTTTGGTATAAAAGGCCAGTGAGGAGGTTTAGGCCTCAGTCTCATCTGAGTACTCGCCACAGGAGCACAAAGGGGAGAGTTGCACAGAGCCCATGATGGGGGACTCAAAGCTCTTTCTTTCACTACTCCTAATCACAGTTACTTTGACTTGTAAGTATTTTTAAATTTTGATATACTATACAATAGAATTACAAATAAAAATCAATGTGAAAACGGATCTCTTTTTTAAGTAAAATTGTCTGCAGGATGAAACAAGGTTTTGCATTTCATTTTCTTATGATTGTCTCTACAGATGCTCAAGAACATGCAACCTGCCTGAGTAAGTTCCAGTACTTTTCTATGTTAATTATGTAATTCACTAATTCACTGTTCAAGAAATGTACAGTAGACTGGACTTTGATACTACACATATATAGTATTTTTTCCTAATATTTCTGTATAAAACACTTTCATGTCTTATCCATACAGCACTTTTTAAATCATGACTGAATTGCCAAATCAAACCTTCTCACTTTCTCACAGTAGCATATTGATGTAAAATAATGTAAAATTATTATCTTCTCTACAAGTAAACCAGAGGTACAAAGCCTACCACAAGTATGAATACCTGTACGAAGCAGAATCCTTGAACGGAATCAATGGTGCTTCACATCACAGGAATGGACCTAAAGCCACTTGCAAGGTACATGTCACTGTCAAGGTACAAGTCACTCTACATTATATCTAGCAGGCAAAAGCTAAAATAATCTTTTAAAACAGGTTGAAATTGAAGTACCTCAGACTTGTAGTTTCATCGTCCGCACCACTGGCTGTAGCCTGAGTGAGGTGGTCGACATGGACGCAGAAAACAACCCCGTGTTCAGTCCTGCACCCAGCTCAGATGACTTTGCAGCTGAAATGGAGAGGTACATTACATCAAACGTTTTCTGTTAAAGGTGGGGTCAGCAATCAACTATCTTTCTCAAGGATGACTGACCCCACCTTTGAATGACACATCTAGTAGTATTAACTCACATTATGCAATATAACATATTCTGTAAGATTTAAGAGTAAAAGTCTCACATTTTCTGCAGATATCCTCTGAAGGTTGTGGTTGATGGTGTGTATAATGTGAAACTGTACCCTGAGGATGGTGAGAAAACAACCATCCTGAACATCAAAAGGGGTATCATCTCCGCCCTGGCTGTGCCTTTGCCGGAAGAAGACAAGAATAAGAATATGGTAAGTCTCATACTTATTATTGTATGCTAAAAATTAAACTCTTTTCAGTTACTCCTGTCAGAAATGTTCTTTTCAAACACAATAAAAATTGCAATGGCAATAAAATGATTTCTGTGTTCACATTAATTTCAGCCCACTATCCACGGCATGTGCAAGACGGATTACTCCATAAACTCTAGAGACGGCATTGCAACAGACATCAGCCTCACCAGGGATCTGTCCAAGTGTGACAAATTCATCCCCATGAGAGATCACACCAGCCCCTTGGCACTTATCTCTGGCATGGTAAGATATCCGAGCAACTTCACTGACACAAGATCAAACAAAAGTCCCATAACTGTAAAAAAAAAAAAAATCTGATTCTGTAATGTCTTTGCACTGTAGTGTAAGAACAAACCACCCCAAGTACCCTAAGCATTGTTAAAATCATTATACAAGAACATTACAGCTGAGGTCTTTGTCTTTCAGCACTACCCTCTTGCCCAGCTGGTCAGAAGCTCACAGACCTGCAACTACAAGTTCGATAATGAGAAGAAACACATGACCTCTGGATCCTGCACTGAGAACCACATCCTCATTCCCTTCTCACACAAGTAAGTTAAACCTTGTACTAGACTCTATAAAATGATCCATTATGTAAGTGTACATACTGATATGTCTTGTGCAGTAGATACGCAGTATGTTTAACCTTGCGTTGCCTCTCCACAGGGGAGAATATGGAGTTACCAATGTTGGAAAGCAAGAACTGACTCTGATTCAGGTTTCTCCTCACAATGAAAGAGTCTTTGATCGCAGTAAGTCCTTTATTTAATTTGTATTGTTTCGATTTGTTGTTTTTGTTTTGACACTACTGGTAAAATTAACGCATTATAACAATCTTGCTTGTGTATCATAGGTGACATTGTCAAGGGTCTTCACATGGAGGTTGTCGAGGACAGGAGTGTTGTCCAAGATAAAGATGCAGGTCTAAACCTTCTGAGAGAACTGGCAACTCTGCCTGAGACTGAAGGCGAGAGGAGGGCCCACCTCTTCCACAAGCTTGTCACCATGGTCCGTGGAATGAAAACTGAGACCCTGAGTCCTGCCATTCCTGAGGCTCTTGCCGTGTCCCGTGTCCTGACCTACCAGGTTCTGGCCCAGTGTGGAACACCTGAGTGCAGCAGTGCCATCATGCAGATCCTCAGGACTTATGACAGCTCTTCACTCGAGGTTGATGCTACAGTTTTTGCTCTGGGACTTGTGTCCAATCCCTCTGCTCTCCTGATCAATGACATGCTTGAGATGGCCAAATACAAGCCCAGCAAGCCCATCATGTATGCCCTGAGCAATGTTGTCAAGAGGTGAGTGAAGTTAACAACAATTTATTTATTCACTTTATTCCCCTTTGTTTCAAATGAACTTCAGATTTTTTTTCCTCTTAAACAGGTTGTACAAAGCTGAAGGTAAACTGATCCCTGAGATTTACTCCATTGCTGAGTTCATGGCTGCCCAGCTGGGTGACTGTTCTGGTGACAAGGACAACACTTTCATGACCCTGAGAGTGGGTAACCTTCCCTGTAGATCCAAATTTAAATGACTAGCAACACCAATAAGAAGATTATTGATGTGTCCTTTGATTCTAGGTTATTGGAAACATGGCTCCAGCTCTGGTACTTGCTGGTCCTGCACTCAGAGGCGCTGTCATCCAGTGTGTGAACCAACCTGCAGCTTCCCCGGCTGTCCAGCAGGCTGCCATTCAAGTGTACAGGCTGACTACAGTCCCTGAGGAGGCAAGTCAAATTATTTCAAAGGTTTGACACATTATTTGAAGAATTCTACTGTATGCTAATTCTGTTGATCTTGTTTGGTCACAGAACAGAGAAGTTATCATGCAAGTGCTTTTGGACAGTGCAAGCCCAATGCAAAAGCGCATTGCTGCATATCTGGTACTTATGAAGGACCCCCAGCCCACTGAACTGGCCCAGCTGGCTAATGCTTTGCCCAATGAGCAGGACCAACAAGTCAAGAGCTTTGTGATTTCCCACATTACCAACATTTTGTCCTCAACTGTGCCAGAGACTCAAGAGTAAGTAAAAAGCAATTGCAACTATATGTGTAGATATTTTTTAATTTGTTATACACTACATGGTTGATGGTTAGTAGGTATCCCGATTTTATCCCCATCACTTGTTTAAATGTAAAGTAAGTAAGTAAAAAGCAGTTGCAAGTTGCTATATGTGTAGATATTTTTTTATTTGTTATACAATATAAGATAGTTAGTAGGTATCCCGATTTTATTACCATCAGTTGTTTAACTATAAAAAAACATGTAATCTCCACAGATTGAGACAGAAGATTCGTGATGCCCTGCAGGGTCATGAGATCGGGCCCATTATGGACCCCACCAAGTTCTCTCGCAATTACAAGATCGGATCTGTGGAAGGCAACATGATCTTTGAGGGTACCAGTTACCTGCCCAAGGAGGCCATGCTTGAAATGACTCTGAAGGCATTTGGCTATGAGATTGATATGATGGAGGTAAACATTTTGAGCTATATTTAATGAAAATTGAACTATTAGACCAATTAAAGAAGACAATCTAGAGTCCTGCTTGTAAGTGATACATATTTCGCCATTACAGGTTGGTATGGAAGGCAAAGGATTTGAGCCAACTGTTGAGGCCCTGTTTGGAAAGAATGGATTCTTCCCTGATACTACCCTGAAGACAATGTACTTTGTCTCTGATAACATGCCTCTCAGAGTCAATGAGATCCTGCAGAACATGCTGCCTTCTCTGAAGAAGGACAGGATGAAGAGACAGGTACTCAGACCAATCTGTTTTATGTATATTAATGTATCTGATTAGTAATCATGAGGTTGTATTTCGATGAATTTACTAATACAGTATGGACATTTATAGGCCTCCCAGAACTTGATGAGGGAGATTGGGCGCAACCTCAATAAACTGGTGAAGGAACTGAAGACCACGCAATCTCCAAAGGCAATGGTTTACTTGAGGTTTTTAGGAAATGAGCTGGGATATCTGAGGACCAATGAAATCACAGAGATGTCCTACTCCGCTGCCATGATGATTGACAACATGTTCAAGTTGTTCCCTACTGAAGTAAATAAAACCTGATGTAAAACAATTTAAAGTATGAAAGATTTAATTAGTTTATCATTTGATTAACATCTGAATTTTTATGTTTTTTGTGCCACAGCTAATGCGGTCACTGATGACCAAGGCTGACAACACAATCTTTGCCCACTACATCTTCATGGACAATGAATTCTTCCTGCCTACTGTCACTGGTGTGCCTCTGAGGATTGCACTGTCTGGTACTTTCACCCCTGGCATCAAGGGTGGATTCAAGATTGCTCCTGACATGGTATCTTATCTATAGAAGTCTTTGAAAAAAATTGTTTTACAGACAACCGAGTGCATGTTTTTTTCGATTACACACTATTAACCTAAGTCTATTTTGCTTCCACAGAGTGAAGTTACCTTCATGCCCTCTGCTGGCATTGAGTTTGTAACTCAGGTTGGCTCCCACATCCCTGAATATGTCAACTCTGGATTAGAGATGCACACCAACATCTTCCATGAAAGTGGAATCAGTGCAAAGATCTCCATGGGACGCGATAATGTCAAGTTGACCATCCCTGCTCCAATGAGTCCTACAAAACTCATAAAAATGACGTAAGTCCTTAGCCACTTATCTCTTTATTTACAAATAGCTACACTTACTTGTAATTAAAGAATATGAGGAGTTCCTCCCTACATAGAATATGACAAATGTTAGACTGGAAGATATTCCAGGTGTAGTTACATGTACTTGGCCCTAAACAAACATTTTACAGAATTTTACATTTTGTACTGGTATCCTTGCAACTTTCATACATAGAAACACCCTGGTGGCAGTGACTGGATCAGAAGTGAAGACAATTCCCCCTATGGTGATGGACATGGTTGATGTCAATGAGTGCACTCCCGTCTTTGCTGGAATGAAATACTGCACTGCTCTGCAGTACACTGATGCTTTCTCGCAGAAGACATCCCCCTACTTCCCCTTCACTGGAGACAGCAAGTGAGCAAAACCTTCTTAACCACCAGGAATTTATTGTGCTGAATTTTATAAATGATAAAATAAATGATTTGCCTATGAATTTTGGCTAATTGATTTATCTGAATAGATTCGCTGTGGAGCTCCACCCTACTGGTGAAGTCACTGAGTACACAGCCACTGTTGCCTACGAGCTCCTCAGAGAGGGAGAAGGGGGCCGGCAGAAGGTTGACTCTGTGAAGTTTATTCTGAGAGCTGAAGGTAATGTACAGTACAGAAAAATATTTTTGATTTATCACTCACTCAATTTGAAAAAGCTCTTAAGTTTAATGGAGTTATGTAATATTAATCAATTGGTTGGCCAACAACAGGTGCAGAGCCCACTGAAGCGAGAGCAATCATGAAATATAACAGAAGGAAGAATGTCATCACAGCTGACGTCCAGATCCCTGACTATGATGTGGAGGCTGGACTCAGGTTGGGTGTGGTTGATGGAAACACCAAGGGCAAAGGAACTCACTCCATCTCTCTTGACTTCATAAACAAGAACATTCCTCAGCTCTCCCTGGTTGGTCGTGCCAAGTAAGGAATCAACCGTAATTCCTCATGATATAACACTAATGACACCCTCATAATTGAGAGTATGCTAACTCACTCTTACATTTTTCAGTCTGAAGGCCATGAAGGAAGGTATGCTGCAAGTCCAACTTCTTGTCCCCTCAGTCAATGCTGATGCCACCGTCACAGCTAACATGAAGCGTGATGAAGAGTTGGAACTGGAGCTCAAGAGTGAAATCAAGTTCTTGGAAACTACTTCTGAGCAGAAAATCTCAATGAAATATGGTAATATAAGTTTCCAGTTACCATTGACTTTTCTGACTTCTTAGATGCCTACATATTTTCACTGTAGACTGGGTCATAACTGGTTGGTCCAGATCATCTAGTCCCAATGGATGGAAAGGATTTAGTAAAAAACTGTATTTGAACCAAAACCTAGTCTGAGCATTAAAAATTTTTTTCTAATGCATCAGCATTCTTTTCAACATTTTCTTTACAGATACCAGCAAGATTGAGGTTGAATTTAAGTCAGATGTGGACTCTGAGATCTTGGACATTCTTCCATACACTGACAAGATTAAAAAGTATGGTAATGATGTTCTTGACATGCGGGTAGGGGAGACTGACATGACAATCTGTCAAATTTTCAAGGCATTTGTGGAGGTAAGAATCTCTGATTTTACAGTTATTTAGACTGACAGATCTTCTTTGATTTGAAATTCATAAAACATACATTGCTTATTCTTTAGGCAACAAACAACCACATTGAAAGCTACGCTGTTGAGATCCCTTACATTCAGAGCTTCAGAGTGCCTGATATTCCTGAGGTTTCACTGCCAGAGAAACTGTTCTTTAATACGTAAGTCTGAAAGAAATCAGTAATAAATATATAAAACATTTTATTATTGAAAGATTATTAATTGTTTTGTTTGTTTATTTGTTTGTTTGTTTGTTTGTTTATAACAGTGAGGCAAAGGCTGTCTACCATTTCAAAAATGAGCGTTTCACCATCGCTATCCCTCTCCCTCTTGGAGGAAAGTCAACAGAAGAGCTTAACTTCCCACCAGCTTTGACCACACCTCGCATGTCTCTACGCCAGTTTGGACTGGAGATTGTCTCCATGGAGATTCCCATCCCAGAGCTTGTTGTACCTGAGAGCCTTACTCTGTCTATTCCTCATTTTGGCAAAGCTGAGCTTTCATCTCTAATAAGGAGTAACCTATACAACATAGAGGCCTCAATGGCAGCTGGCAAAGATGTGGTGGAGACACCAAGCTACTCAGCTAAGTTTGATGTGAAAGGAACCTCCCCACTTGACATCCTCTCAATAAAGATTGAAGGTATTTCCTAAAATATCATTCATTAATTTAGAATTTGCTACATTGTTATCCTTAACTCACAGTTAAATGGTTAGTTCTTTGTTCTTGGTAGAACAGTTATCAGGTTTTGAATTCCACTGACAGAACGACAATGTGACTAATGTTCAGCTAAAATGTTACATTGTTGACATATTTTTAATTTATTTTGTATATTTGTTAAAAAGGAATCAATTATCAGTTATCAATCTTATTTTCTTCTTTTGTTGTTTTATTTAGGCTCTGGAATGTTGACCACCACTGATTCCATCAAGGCCCAGTTGAAAAGCTCTTTGGCACACAAATTCATTGAAGCCAGTATTAGTATTGTTGAGGATGTAACAATCTCAGACAAAATCAACTTGAGATCAAGCAGCAAGATTGAAGCCACAAGCCCATTTGGTCTCAATATTGCTCTAGAGCACACTGGTATGTCTGGAATCAACACTGAAGAAATATCTGCTGATAGCAACTTTGAGGGAATGTTCAAGGCTGGACCCATGTATGGCAAGACCATTTCGACCCAGTCATTCAGCATCTTTCCATTCAGGCCAGAGGCAAAGATCGATTCTACTGTTCAGATTGACTCCACTATTATTCAGGCCCAGAACACAATTGCAGCAACCCTTGCCAATGGGGAATTCTCTGTTGTGTCTAACACCAACGCATTTGAAGACATCGTGACCCATGTTGCTGAGCTTTCCTTCAAAGACAGCAAGTTGTCACTGAAATATGATGCAAATGCCCTTGCTCTTTGTATGAAGATCCGCAACCAGGCTGAAGCCTCTGTTGGTGCTGGTGAAGTTGTCATGAGAATGGAGACAAATGCAGATCACTCTGAAAACCGTGTTTACTCTCTGCTGACTGCCTCTCTTGATGTTAATGGTCTGGCTGTAAACAGTGATGCCACTGTGAAGCTCCTTGAGAATGAGGCTATTCACAAAGCTACACTGAAAATGAACAAGGATGGTATGACCACAAGTGGAACAAACACCCTCCAGAGCCCCCTTGCCTTGGAAAACACCTTTGATGCTGGGCTTGATGCTTCAAGAGCTACTCTATCCATCACTAACAAGGCTGCGATGCGTGACATGATGGTTGATAATGCCAATACTTTGACCATTACTCTCTCTAGCTTTGACTTCACCTCAAAGGCTGAAGCCACTGCAAGTGAGTATGCTTCCTACACTCATGATATCACCATCGACCTGAAGCCCTACACTGCCTCTGCAAATGTTAACAACAACTTGAAACTTCTGGCGGCAAATGTCAATCATGAGGCTCAGCTGCAGGCAGAGCTGTACAAGATGGACCTGACTGGAAGCCTGAAAACCATCTATGGTGAGGAAGAGATCAAGCACACATATCAAGTAAATTATGCTGAAATGACTGCGAATGCAAAGTGTAGCACCACTGGAAAAGTCTTTGGAACTCACATGAGCCACAACACAGAGCTTGAGGTTGTTGGTCTTGCTGCCAGACTCACCAATGATGCTCGCTTCAACTCTCAGCCATTGCGCTTTGACCACACCATCCGTTGCAGTATTGTGCCTTTTGATTTTAACCTTGATGCCGTCTTCAATGCTGATGGAGACCTGACCATGTATGGAAAGCACAGTGGCCAGCTCTATGGCAAGTTCCTCCTTAGAGCACAACCCCTGGCTTTTGCTAGCTCACATGAATACAGAGCATCAGTAACTCAGCAACTACATAACAGTTTTACCCTTGAGACAATTATTGACAACAACGTTGATACTGTTCTGTCACCCATAGAGCAGAAGACCAGTTTTAGAATGAAGTCTAAAATGAATGACCACATTTTAAGTCAGGACATAAGTGTTTACAACACTGATGAGAGAACTGGAATTGAGGTTTCTGGCTCCATCCTCACAAATATCCTCAACACAGACTCCACAGACAACCAGGAATTTGCCATCTCTGGGTTCCTCAGGTATGACAAGAGCTCAAATAGTCACATAATTCAGTTCCCTATGATTGAAAGTCTTTCTTCTTTCTTGGAAAGCATGAAGGGGCTATTTGTACAAGTTGCAGAGGCAGTGCAAAACCATGTTAACAATGAGGACATCATAGCTAAACTTGAGGCTCTTCTTCAGCATGCAAGTGACCTTTTTTCTCAACTGAATATAGAAGACAAACTAATTCAGCTGAAGCAGTATTTCAGTGATTTTACCCAAGAATATGTCATCTCTATGGAGGATGTGGAAGCCTCTTTGAGAAACCTGAAGGTTACTGTTGAGACATTGCTGGCTGATCTTACTGTTTACGTCCAGCACTTTGCTGGTATGATGAAGGAGATTATTGTTAGTGGCACTCTGCCTGAAACCCTCATTCAGAAAATCCAGCAACTGCTGAATGCCATTAATGAGGAGTATGACATCAAGGCTGTGGTTGTGTATGTGATTGATACCATAAGGGAGGTGATCCAGCAGATTGACCTGGAAAAACTGAAGGGCAGCAGCATTGCATTGTTGTGTGATATTGATGCCAAGTATGAAATCATGGCTAAGCTGCAGAGAATTGTGAGTAACATGAAACAAACAATTGAGACCTTTGACATGCAGACATTTGCTGCTGAGTTGAAGAGGTACATTTCATCGATCAACTTTAGAGCTCACATCGAGGAACTAGTGAGTCAGATTCCCACAGAGATTTTCAGTGATATAACAGATTATATTAGGGAAATGATTCAGGACCTCGACATCCTAGGAAAGATCAATGCATTTTATGTTAAAATGAGAGAGCTGATTATGAAGTTTGAGGCTGAGAGAAAGGTCCAAGCGGTTTTGGAAAAGGTTGTGGAGCTCATCAAGCAGTTCAGAATTGAGGACACCATCAGGACTGTAGCCAAGATGGTGAAGGACGCACACATCCCTACTAAATTTATGGAAGTATTCCAGGGTGCTATCAATTACTTAAAAACAACTGAGGTTAAGGATATAATTTCACAGTTCAATGTATATATTAGCATTATTGAGGAGAAATGTAAGTCATTTGACTATAATGACTTTGTGGATCATACCAATCAAATGATAGCTGAGTACACTACTCATGTGAATGACCTGATCAAGGCTCTTGAAATCCCTCAGAAATTTGACGCAACAAGAGATTTTGCCAACTTGATCTTATCCTCTGTTAGGGGTCATGTGGAACAACTTAGAGAAATTAAAATTGCAGAACTTGTGAAGGAATTCTTTGACCAAGTTGTGTTAAATAATCTGAAAGGATTTGCTGAAATTATAAAGCAAGAATTTGCTAAACTGGATGTCAATGCTGAAATTACCTCTTACCTGCAGTTACTAAGAAAGTTCTATTCAGAGTTCATAACTATTGCCACGGACATGTGCACCAGTATAATTGAGATCATTAAGAAGGTGGCACCTCAGCAAAAAATTGTCAGTGAGATATTGCAGATCATCGAGGGGCTTATTACTGAACTGAAGAAAGCTGAGCTAAACATGCCATCCTTCACCATTCCTCTCACTGATCTTGTTATGCCTTCCATGAAGTTCAGCATCGATCAGCTACACCAGTTTGAAATCCCATCACAGCTGGACATCCCTGAGTTTACTATCTTGGGTTTCCACACTGTGCAAGCCACCACTATCTCAACTAATGACATTAAACAGAGAATCATTGATTTGATTGATTTTGTTCTCAACTTTGAGATGAAGATGTTTGATATGGGTGCTTCGTTTGGAGAACTAACTATATATCTTCCTGCCCTGCCTGAGTTTTCACTTCCTGAGATTACAGTATCTGAGTTTTCCTTTCCCAGTCTTCCTCATGTTCCATCGGAGAAACTTGTTAATACTCTCCAACTCCCAACATTTTACCTGCCAGCCATTCCTAGTGGGATCATTATTCCAGGATTTGGTAAACTGAGTTATGAGATAAAAGTCAACTCCCCCATCTACACTGTTAGGAATGCTGCTGAGGTCCAGAGCTCTCTTGATGTAGATGAGACTCCTCAGTTGATAGCTTTTATGACTTCCCAAGGCACCTCTCTCAGTTATGAAATCCTTAACTTTAACCTGGATTCCACTGCTCGTATTGCTGTTGCCAAGGGGCCTCGTGTTATTGCTGCTGAAAGCCTTAAGTTCACTCACAATTTTCTTGCGTTGGACCACCATGCATCTGTGACATTTTATGACTTCTCAGCCCAGGCTTCAGCCAAGACCATAGTAAAGGCCACCACAGCACCCTACAATGCTGAGCTTTTAAATGAAGCTTTCTTAGCTACCAAGGGTGGTTTATCTGCCACTATTGACACTTCCTTTAAACATACAGTCAACCTCCCCATCATGGGCCTCACTGGTGAGACATCTGTAACTCAAAAAGCTGTGGCCCGCCAAGAAGGTGCCTCTATTACAATAACTGTTGGAAATCAGGGTTCTTCCACCTTCAACTCTCATGACAGTACCCACAAGAGTGACTTGCAAATTGTGGTCAATCCAAGTACAGTCAAATTGACCTTCCTTGGTGACACAGATACACTCATTTTGAAGGTGAGACAGACCCTGAGTGCTGACTTTGTTATGTTCAGCCATTTAAAGCTTGATATTCGCTCTGAAGCAGAAGGCCCGACCATCAAAAACAGCCTTTTAGTGGGATCACTGAATGCCAATCTGCATGACATGAAGCTTGAGCTGAAGGCAACCCATAGCACAGATTTAATTGGTATTGTCAATGGAGCCCTATACAATGTGATTGATGTTGTTCTCTGTCCTAGAGAAGTTGTGTTCAGCTTTCAGAATAAGGGAAACACCAAGGTCAGTTTCAATGATGCTCTTACTGCCAAAATTGATCTGCAGAATGATTACACTGCAACCTTCAGGCCTGACAAGCAACATATGAACACTGTCACTCTGGCCAATTTTAATCAGTACAAACTTTTCTGGAACTTCACTGCAGAGAACAATGAGAGAGAGGCTGCCATCCTTACTGATGTAAAAGGGGAAGCAAACTTTGATTTCCTGACTACGCCTCTCAGCATTCCTGAAATTGAAATTCCATTTGTTGACTTACGCACTCCAGCTATTAGTGATCTTGACTTGTATGACCAAACAGGACTGAAACACATTTTGACTACCACTCAGCAGACTGTTGATGTGGACACTAAGATTGTTTATCAGAAGAGCCAAGCTCCCCGCTTGGTTGATGTGATGGGTGTAATCCACATTCCATCTGTGGGGAACCTGATCACTGAACTGTCTTTCAAGTCTGGCATTATCAATCTGAATGTCAATGCTGGAATGTATGCTGAGGATGATCTTGTCTTCCGTCTGGGAGCTACCACAGCCTCTGTGTTTGAAGGTCTAAAATCCAAACTTGATGCCACCACCAGTTTGACCCTGAAGAGAGGAATAAAGTTGGCCAATTCCCTGTCCCTTGAAAATCATCACATGGAAGGCACTCATGACAGCACCATCAGTATGAATACTGAGACTTTTGACACTGCTATCTCTGTGGCCACTGTTGCAAAGATTGCTCTCCCTATACTCAATCTGGAAGCCAACCAAAATCTGGTTGCAGACACAAAAACCAAACCAAATGCTGCCTCCACCTTGAGGATGAAGGGTGATTTCAACATCCCTGTGATCAAGGCTGTTGGAAAGGCTGAGGTAGACCACACTCTGAAGATGGAAGGAACCTTTGAGTATGTTTCCATGGAGGCATCCACTAGGGCAAACATGGATGGCACAGTGCTCGAAGACTGTTTAGTTTTGGGAGTCCTAGATAATGAGGTTAATCTCTATCTGAATAATGATGGCCTACGCTCCACCTTCAAGGTTATTGCTGATTCCAAGCTTAACTATGGCACCACAAAAGTAATTGGCATGGATGTAAATGAGAATCTCTCTGTTGAAGCCTCCCTGGGCCGTGTGTATGCAGTGCTAAAGTATACTGGCAACAATGAGGCAAACTTGTTCAACTTTAACACCAATGGGAAGCATATTGCCCAAGCCACCATTGACTTTGCACCAGCATCTTCCTTGACTGCTGATATTGAGATAGATATATCTCAGCCAAGCAGCCTGGGTGAGTTCACCATCTTTGAAAAAACTGTTGCTGAAGTGACAGCTGCTAAGCAGAAGATGTCAACCAATGTCAAGATTGTCAGCCCACTGTACACCACAAACCTGGCAGCTGAAGTTGAGGGAAATGCTCCTGTCTTCAAAGTCACCTTTAAGTCCTCTGCCACCTCTGCCATCGTCATCTTGGAGTATGACCTGGACTGTAAGTTTTTCTTTTTTTAGCATATATACATTTTGCATCTTAAATAAAAAAGTTTAGTTTTAAGGTTTGACTAAAGGCAATGTGCTCCAACAGCCTCCATTATCATAAACTTTGAACAAGATGGCGTGAGCCTGACTGGGAAGGTGGTTTTCACCCATAGTGATCTGACCATGGACATTCAACACCTTCTTTCCCATACACTGAGGTAAGACTTTAAATAAGTATTGTGTGTGACAGTTGTAATTTGACTAGTTACTCCAAAACACACACATTTTACTTTAAATCCAAAGAAAAGAACCCATATTATAAAATATGCTCATAATTATTTCCTGTTAAATAGTCCTGTTTCTTGGATAAAGTTGCCTTCTTTGGTATTTCGAAAAAAAATACACCTTCCTGCCTGTCTCGACAGTGACTCCCGTCTCACCCTGAATGTGGACATAAACAGCCCTGCCTTTACTGACATGAACTTGCGTTATGCTGTCCGCAAAGATGGAATCAGTGCCACAATCTCTGTCCCATCCACCGGCTTCCTGGGTCTTCAGCTCCATGGAAGGGTCCCATCTCAGATGAATGCCAGGTTTTATGGCCGTTATGCTGTAAGGATTTCGTGCTGCTATTAAATTTGAGCAGTTACATTAATCAAAAGATTTACATATCATTTAGGTTTTTGTTTTGTTTTCTGTTAAACAGTCTGATCCTGGGAAGGATGTCGATATCATCACCGTCAGAGCTTCTGCCAAAGATGCTGATAGAATTAATCTGAAGATGGTCTTCAACATGGAAGTCCCTGACATCATGGTCAGCGGACTACAGGAAAGACTTCCTGCCATCATCTCTTGTTTGTCTAGCTTTGCTGAGAAATATGAACTGTTCAGACATGCTGCTCAGCTGAAGAATATTATTATTGACTATACCGAAGAGGCCCACATCATTGCAAATAACCATGCCCCACATCTGAGCCAGGTGTCCATCCTCTTTAGGAACACAGTTGTTCAGTACCAGAAGACTGTTCAGGTATTTCTGGATGCTGTCATCAAGATCCTGAGGGAGACCCATGTCAAGTTGCCTGGTTCTGAGGAGATGAGCCCTCTTATTGAGGTGCTCAATCAGATGACCACCAGAATTAGTACTATGGTAGAGAAAGCCATGCGCTTGGTGGCCATTAACGTAGAATATGCTTCCAACGCTGTAATTGGCATGATCAGTAAAATTCAGGTTACAATGCCCATTGGTGATGTCATGGCTGGAGCCCAAATAATTGACGAGATCAGGGACAGGGTAAAGACAATGCCTAATCCTATTTTGGATGTTTTGAAACAGCTGGAGAGTCTAGACATGTTCCTGAAGAAACTGGGTGACACCTTAAAATTATATGTTGATAAAGTTCAGGACTTCGTTGACAATGCCCTAAAGTCTGATGTCCTTGATGCTGTTGCGGTCTACTTTAATGATTTGTATCACAAATATGTACGTTTCATGAAAACAGTCACCAAGTACGCAAACAGAGCTTTGGACACTGAGTATATAAATGGAGCCCTTAATTACATTCTGGATATTTTCAGATCTGTAGTGAATCAATTGAACTACTCCGTTACTGACTATCTGCAGCAGGCTCCTGCTCAGTACAGAGCTTACGTAAAGGTTAAGGGTAGAAAGCTTGAGATTAATATTTGATTCCACCTTCGCAAGTAAGCTAAAATATTTAAATGATACTATTTAAACTGCTTTAAATTATCCAAAAATAAAGGTGTAAGTGTTCAAAACATGTATTTAAAAAATAGGCAAACAAATACTAGATGATCTGTTTTTTTCAAAAATAAATGGAAAAACAGAGGCTGAGCATAAAACTATTACATGTAACAACAGTGCATATAACAACCTGTATACCATATCTGTTGCAATTCTAATTTGTATATCTTTGTTTGATAGTGGTGTGAAATAAAGTGTGTTTAATGAATACAGTTGTGCAGTAATTTTTTTCCCCCAATGGACATTACGACAATACGTTTTATAATGTTAAGCAGCTATACTCTATATTCTTGTTTGAGTCAGTGTTGTAGTTTTAATTAGTTTAAGTTACTCTTTTTGACTGATTGTGTTTTTAATATAAGGACGTTTAAATGCTAATATTGTAATTAAATGGACCCCAATGAAAACAGGAAACCAGAGCTTGACAAATTTGTCTAAAACTTAAAAGTTGGCTCATTTGCTCTCTGGACACTGAATAACAGATCCAATAACAAACCTGCAGATGCATAGATGTAATTTCTATTAGCAACCAGACGGGGTCACTGGAACATTTTTTTGTATAAACTATAATGCTTTATGACTGTGCGTGTGTTGGTGAATAAATTAGATTAAAATTAAAATGAGCTTTGGCCTTGTTGACTTATGCTGAAGTTTGTAATTTCATGAGCTTCTGTTAGCTAAAGAATATTAAAAAATGTTCTTATTAGGATTAATAGATTACTGTTTACTGAGCGAGTGTTTGGGTTCCAGCTGGCCTGAAAGTGTTAAAATAAAGTGGCAGCATGTGTTTGGTTCATTCAGTATAGTTACGTACTATATAAAATAATTGTATATAAAATAAGTGTTAAATTAAAAAAAGTCTATGCAAGAATAGATTAACTGAATCAGTGATTTAACTTTTGAGGAACACTGTCAGAAACTCAAAACCTTTGATTCATAACTGCCTGTCCTTACCAGTACTGGAACATGTTATCAAGTAGATCCTGAATGTACTAGAAGATACCAGTCAGTGAGAGGGATGTTCTCAGCGTACTGTACTCTGCCCTAAAACAGATTATTATTGATTATTATTATTATTATTATTATTATTATTATTATTTATTACAGAGTAATAAAATGTGTACTCAAATAAAGTTTCCACATACAGTATAAACCAGAGTTGCTCAGCAGACTTGCTTAAGTTTCTCACCTACTGCATTCCAGCTCCTCTTGTGTAATATTATGCAATACATTAAAACCTATGCCAGCCCCAACATGTGTGATAAATTCTAGAAGCTCAACACTGAAGAGGACAACTATTACTGGTTTATTATCAGTTATGCAATTTTAAAGTTCCAACAGACATACACACACGCATATGGCAGATGTGTACAGTTATTTATTAACTGACAACAGCAACAAGATAACTCAACAACATGTATACGCTCTACTTTGCTCCATCTGTTGCACACCCTGATTTGGTGTTGGAGGAGCCTCCTTGAGTATTATCACATTCTCTACTATGGACGTTCTGCCTCGACCAAAGCAGGGGATCTGATGCTCTCCTGAAGCTTAATTGGAGTGGAAGTTTCCCACTTCTGATGCCAAGCAAACTACAGTATACAGGCCCTCCATCATTTACTAATATGATAACATGTTGACCTTTTGTCTGTGTTTTCAACAGCTTTATCAACAGCATGTTAAAGTTATTCTAGCTTATCAACACTAAGGCCAGGACCATTCCTCACATTTGGCACTTTAGACACAAGACTGTTTTTTAGCACCTTGAGCAACAAACCCACAACAATTGGAAACTCCCTGTCAACACTGTCACAACAGTCTGTCCAACATCAGTCTTGTAATACCTAGTTCTGCAAATGCAGGGTGCGGGTGAGAGGCATGCAGGTCAAAACATGAGATGTTCTGGTGGAACTTCCCTGATTGGGACAGAGCTGATGAAATTACAGTTCTAATGTGGTTGTATAACGCCCATCGACCTTCTTCATACTGTAGGTCATAGCAGGAATAATTACAGTAATAACATTCATATTTTTCTTAAAATGCACAGTTTACAAGACTTTCGTCTATTAATGACACTTTGATTTTGAATTTGGAGGTAGATTTAGATCCATATTGATGAGATTATAGCAAAAGATTACAGCTAAGTAGAGTCATTTAAGATTAGTTTGACCTTTTTACTTTTTCATTTTATTGAAATCTTGTATACCGGCAGCTATATGTAATTCATGATGGTGTTAAGATTATGCCAAATTGCTCATGATGCGTGATCTAGCATTTGTAACTTTTCAAGCAGATTACTTTGAAAAGAAATCTTTTCAGACACAATGGAGCCTTAACCCAAACTAGTATCACATACATTTCATACATCAATACATTAGTAATAAATATGGTTTCTAAATAAAGAACAGAGCAAATTATTAATTAATATCACCTCTTTGTGTCTATTTGTCACAGCCTTCCTTTAAGGTGCTGTAATGATATCACAGATGATATTGTAACACTCTGTAGTCTTAGCGTTACTGCATTAAAAACCACCTTCCGGTCAAAATCATCTGTGTTACTGGATCCACGTTAATGTCCGTCTTCACTGCAGGAAAACTGAACACTGACAACAAATCACCTCACTACCTTACATCACATCACTGCAGCAAACTTAACCATCAGTACTGTTGGGCTGGCTACTCAAATGAATGAGTGAAATTGTAATGTATTACTCATTACTCTTTTAAAAAGTAACTTTGACTTTACTTTTTACTTACTGCCAACAGATGTTACGTTACTAGTTAAATTACTTTTTCTGGTACTCCCCACAAAATGGTGTTGTTGTTGTTAAAATCAAAGTAATAGGAATATTTCCAGCTGCTGAATGTAAGCGTTTCTATCTTCCAAGCTAGCCTCCTCCTACAAAAATATAGTTGTTACTTATTATTTTTGGGAGGGACAATATTATTACTTGAATGTATTAGTAATTATTTACACTACTCGTACATGGGAAAATACGATTATTACTGTAATATAACTAGCAATGAGTTACTGTCCAACATTGACCATCAATTCAATTCTTGTCAATACAATTTTATTTGTATAGCCCCAATTCATAACAAAAGTTATCTCAGGACACTTTCACTTTCAGGTCCAAACCGTACTCATTATTTAATTCTTTACAGAGACCCAACAGTTCCCACCATGAGCAAGCACTTGGAGACAGTAACATTACTGGTAAGGTGCACCATATTATGTAGTTCCTCATCTTAATTACAACACAAAATACAATACAGACATATATATAATTACCATTAATTACATTATGCCAATTGTCTCAATAAACCTGAAAAAAAAAATTGATCTTCACAGAAATAAATCATCTGACAATATCCAGAAAAGGTTTCATCAAGTAATTAGTGTTAATTTACTGTCAACGTCACAATTAATTAAAAATTTGTAAGATGTTAGCATGTGGAGATGCTGCAATTTAGCTAGCTTGACACAACACACAAGCAATGGTGCTGAGTTTACTAGTATGGTGTAAGCAACTACTCACCTGAACTGAAATACAAGAAAACGTTCAGCTACAGTTAGCTACAGTTACTGAGCATTACAGCCCCGAATTAGGCAGTTACTCCTATTGTACAGCTTATTATGCATTTCCTTTCTAATTCAGGTATAGGTCTTTTATAGTGCCTGATACTCCACAAGTTGCTACGTAAATTCAAAATTATTAACTTAAAAATAACTTATAGTCCTACTAGGTTTTCTTAGTTCATTTTGTGTTGTCTTTATATCATATTCCTTTTTGTATTCTATGTTTCTCAGGTTGTTTTATATAATCCTCTATTAACAGTTTTGTGGGAAGATGCTGCATAAATTGACACCAGATTTTGTTTGTAATTCTTTCCTATAAAGGCCGCATTCAGACTGCAGGCCAAAATGACCCAAATCTTGTTTTGTTTTGCTCATATGTTACTCAGATGTGATTTTTTTTTTTATGACAGTGTGAACAGCACAAACCACTTGGAATCAGATCATTTCAGTTCTGATTTAGGCCACATTCATTTGTGGTTCAAATTACGTCACTTTAGACTGACATTCATCTCTGTGGGTCTCTGATATGGGCCACATTTAAAAAGCAATGTGAACAATCAAGCAACAAAATTCAGATCTGAGCAATAAATCAGAATTGAGCGCAAAGGCTTGCAGTGTGAACGTAGTGTCACATTAAACACGAGCTCATCTCTATCAAATACTCAGATGTCATATTATTGGGTGCACCTAGCTAAAAAGTAATCCAGTCTACACAACTCATATACTTAATAAAAAAATCTAACATGAGTATTATATATTGCTATACGTTGCATGGTGTTACATTGTATTGCATCATACTGAGAGGTGTTTCTAATATGTTGTCTGCACCATTAAAACCCATTTAAATCAACAACACTACAGAACTTGGCAGCTATAATGAGATTACTTTGTACATTTTGGTCCAAATCCAAGGAGTATGTCTTTGTTTTTGATTAAGTAATGATGATTCTCAACATACTCATTTCAATCCATTAGTCTCAAATGTGACTAATGTTTTTTTTTATCTCTTTTCCTTGCCCTTACTCTATATTTCAGTACCAAGTCCAGTCATTATGACTCCTATCGTATCAACAAAACTGTATCACCAGGGCTTTGAGAGGTGAGTTTATTCTGCTGAGCACGTCAAAAGTAATGATGAGTCGGGCTCCAACTAATGATTTAAGGTTTAAGAGCAGATCAAACCCAGATTACAAGTAAGATGCAATTATACCTTACAGGCTAGTTTGTAATGTTATATAATGTTGTTTATACCTTATACATATGTTTGCTTTACTTTACAGTTTTTTACATTATTAGTTACCCTTATTGCTTAAATGTCCACCTTTACCACTTTTTTGACTATTTGTCCTTTGTAGACTGTAAACCTTTCCAGTTTTGAGGACCACTGTAACCATTCAATGCCACCTCATCTAATGCATTGAAGCCTATTGATCCACTCTCTGCTGTCACTCCTTTCACAGCACAACAGATACACTTTGACTTGAGCTCAAGAGTCCATCAGGTTTTTTTAATGATCCATGTTTGTGGATCATGTTTTGATATGACAGAAAGTGTCCAAACAATTGTTTGTACCAACCAGGATTGACTCCAATATTGTTTTGTGGTGCTATATTTACAAAACATGTTTCATAATTCATTTACTTTATAATTAAAATGTGATTTATTAGTCAAGAACAAAGTGTATATATAGTTATGAGAGATATCAGTATGATCTATGGGTATTTTATATTCTGTGACCACCCTGATTCAATTCTTGAAGTACATCACAACAACCCACAAAAGAAGAGTTGAGCAAAGGTTTCTAATTATTCTTTTAATTGTCCCATTGCATTAATATAACTTTTAATTATCGCCATTTGCTCCAAGCCCCACTGAGATATTTTCTACATACTGTAATCATTATGCTCCATGCTGTTGTGACCCTTATGCAATGGCAGACTGTCTTCTTCTTCCTGATTAAGTTATCTTGAGTTCACCTGTGTTGCAATCCTGATCAAACAGCCGTCACTGGATTCTCTTAAGAGGTGAAAGGTTAGCCAAGAATGCTAAGACACCAGTGTTGAGACGCCAGTTTTCTAATCAACAAAGCTGAGTAGACAAGGTACTGTTTGTCTACTTTCAACAAATTTCAGGTGACCGAATCTGACTCAGGCCTTTCTATGAATTATCAGTCTTCAGTCAGTCTATTTTTCCATATGCATTTATTTAGCATACTTCAGGCCTATTTTTGAATAATAAGATATAAAGTAGAACATATAACTTATATAAAGTTTAGATATTTACTTTTTTGGTCAAATTAGAATGAAATTAAGCTATCAAAGTTCCAGTGTGTAACATTTATGTGGATTTATTGGCAGAAAAGGAATATATTATTCATATTTTCATTAGTGTATAATCACCTGAATATAGGAAATGTTTTTGTGCTTTTTTCGTGTCTTGCTGCAATTACACTGATATATGCCACTTAATGCTAAACACTGGAACTTTAAGAATACTGGACAAACATCAAAAATCATTTTAAATGTCGTACACGTCATTTTCGTCTGAAATCATGCTTAAACTATGTTCAGGAGAGAGATATTGTCTATATGTTTTTAGCTTCTTATCAGTGATGGAGGAAGTATTCTGATCCAATTACTAAGTAAATACCAATACCACACTGTAAAAATACTCCATTACAACTGATGTGGATGAGCAGACTCCATGGAAGCACCTATAGATTAAAAAAAGTATAATTCTAAGGTAACAAAAACATTTCCTATATTCAGGTGATTATACACTAATGAAAACATACCTATGAATATTATATTCTATTTATGCCAATAGATCCTCCTAAATGTTACACACTGGACCTTTAAGTTGAATTGTATTTAAGGCCGAGCATAAGTATACAAGTATTATCAGGAAAATGTTCTTTAAGTATCAAAAGTACTTAATGCAGATAAATGGCCCCTGTGAGTATGCAAAATATATTTAATCAGAATATAATGAATGTCTTGTTTTTCCAACCAGTAGTCCAAAATTATTCTGTTTACTGTAATTTAGGAATAGGAAAAATAAACTTTGGGAAGTTCGATGAATTGTTTGATCAATTGATGAATCGACTCATTAAAACACATTCAAATCAACTTATTTTTAATTTGTAAAGTTATAACTACAGCTGTCACAAATAAAAAATAGAAAAATAAAATATTTCCCTCTGAAGTAGTGGAGTAGATATACTCAAGTATGCATATCCTAAATTTGTAATTAAGTACAGCACTTGAGCAAATGTACCTTACATAATTCGGTCCGCCACTGCCTCTAACATACAGTATAGTTGCTGTAACGGGCCTCGCTGTGAATTGGCTCAGGAACTGACCTGTAGCGTTTATTAATGTTATCTGTTACATTTGTGCTTATCATGCTAAAATAAAATAGGATATTGTTTGTGTACAATAATCAAAATCTGATGATCAGCATGGCCTGAAACGGCCTAGAAAAGAAACAATGGAACAGCTTTAAGACGTGCTCTAATATGTGGTGATCACAGACACCAAGTACTGATAACAAAAAGCAGCAGGTGACTCGGGTTTCGATTCTGCGTCAGTGTGATTCATATTGTTCAGGAGTCCTGGGGCAAAGGTTTACTTAATGTTTTGTAAGAAGCCTTCATGTATGTGTGGATGTTTAAAAGGATAATGTAACCTTTTACTAAAAAACTTAATATAGAAAGGACTGTGTTTTGAATTGGTTGAACAACGTCTTTCAACATAAAATCTCACCTCTGAAATAATCAAAACCAAACAAGACTTGAAAGCAATACTGGTGAAACATTTAGAATGAAAATCAAAATGGCACACACAACTGGAGTTTAAAAAAAAGCCTCCCCTAACTTTCTGATAATACCAAATTAGTTTATTTGTTTCTACTGCCCTTTGAGCAGCACAAACAAGCAATCAAAGTTAATGATTCAGGATATACGCGCTATTATATGACATTGCTCTGATTAAAAATGAGATATATGTGATTTATTTTAATGATAAACATTAATATACAAATTTCTCCTTTACAAATTACCATTAGCCCAATGTCTCAGGAAAGCAACCCCCTAACAATAAAACAAGAGCTGAAGAGGTATTTTAACATAATCACACGGACCCACCCCCACTCAGTGCTGACAGACAAGTCTTAGTTGGTGAAATGTTATAACCTTTGGTCTGCCACAAGGACTGCTCAGACTTTGGAACCAGGGCAACACATTTGCACGTCCAGGTAATCACATACAGTAAGATTGGAGAACTATAAAAGCCAGAGGACCGAAGCACAAGAATTAGTCTTCACTGAAAGAGGAAGACTCTCCCTTCCTTAAGGCTTCCAGGAGCTTTACTAAGCCCATCATGGGGAATACCAAGCTCTGCCTTTTGCTGTTGCTGGGCACTTATACACTAGCCCGTAAGTATTGTGTTTTTTATTTGTAAGCTAATAGAATTTAAATGTATAATGTTATATGTGTAAGTCTATTTGAGAAAAAATTTAATAGTGTGTTTGGTACTAAAGCATTAATCATTTTGTGATTTTAGTTGTATTAGTTGTGATGTTATTCAAATCTTTTTTTTTAATTACTGACAATACAGTATTTTGAGTTTAAAAAAACAAAAAATAAACACTTAATAGTGGTATATTTATATTTTTAAGTACTGAATTTATGAGTTAAGTATTTAATTGTTCTCAGTTAAGATTTAGAGCAGCTTGTGGCTTTTTAAAATGTCAAACAAACAATGTCTTTCATCCATTACAGAGCAAGATGTGGGAAGTGTTGAGGAACAATCTCCTGTTTGCCTTTGTAAGTTGTTTTTATTTTAACATTGTTTTATTAATTACTCTTATAAAATGTGATTTAATTTGATAAGTTGCTGATGAGCTCACCTGTCAGTAATCATTTTTCATGTTTTCTGAGTATCAAACTATCCAGTTAAAGTACTTAAATGTATACAGAGTGTTAATTTGTATAAGTACAAGTGTTTAAAAAATTAACATAACAGGGATCTAACTGATGTTTCAAATACTTTTTAGTGGCCAAAAGATTCAAGAACTTCAGGCGGTTTGTGTACGACTACGAAGCTGAGACCCTTAACAGTGTGACTGGAGCAATGGACAACAAGAGCGGCCCCAAAGTCTCCTGCAAAGTATGTTTCACAGCCCTGATCATTACTGCAAACAGTCTCATGACCCTGAATAAATATAGTAGTACTAACAACAATGTTTGATGTTTAATCTCCTGCCCAGGTTGAGGTTGATGTGCCCCAGACCTGTAGTTTCATCCTCCGCACAACAGAGTGCTCTCTGAGCGAGATTTCTGGTGTGGATGCAGAAGGGAACCAAGTGTACCGTCCTGCTGATGGAGCTGAGGCTTTCAAAGCTGCCATGGCCAAGTAAGTCGCCTTGTTATCTGTATTATTCAGTCTGATCAGAAAAGTAGCAGGAGTTGAGGACATGAAAGTAGAGGACAGGCTTAATGGCAAAGTTGTAAATCATGATCTGTCCACGTCAATAGGAACCCCTTGAAGATCACAGTCGAAGAAGAAATTCACGTCAGACTCTACCCTGAGGATGATGAGCCTGTCAACATCCTGAACGTCAAGAGGGGAATCGTCTCTGCTCTCGTTGTGCCAGTAATGGAAGAGGAGAGCAACAAATACATGGTAGCTGCCCTTGTTTTGTCAGTATTTACAGCAGTTGTTAATTGATTCTGTTTGTGTCATGCAAAGATAAACAAGTTGCACAATGAGTAGATAAGGTGCCCCAGTCACGGTGATAAACACTCCTGTAACATCATGTTCTCACCATGAGTGTCTGTGGCTGAAGGTCAAAGTCCTAGATAAGTTTATCTTTCAAATGGCATCATCTGCTCTCATAATGGGGGGGGGGCAATCTGTCAGATCAATTGATAATGAGATTCAGGGTGATTGCTAAAGGACAAAAATCTCTTGCAACCTTGTTTTTTTGAATTGTTTCCAACATCCTCAATGCTGACGTTGCCTCTCATCATTTTCAGTCCACCGTGCATGGAATTTGCCCCACTGACTTCACTGTCAATGCTAGAGAGGACATCGCCACTGATGTGACTGTCAGCAGGGATCTTTCCAAATGTAGTTCATTCTTTGCCCGCAGACAGGACACCAGCCCACTGGCCCTCATCACCGGCATGGTAAGAGATGAAAGAGGTTGTGTTATACTCATTTTCAGGTTCACGCTTGTATTTGGGGGGGTTATAATAATAACCTATTGTTATATATGTATAATAGGTTTACCTGCTTCAGTGTTCAAAATACATTATTTTTCTCATACTAGCCATTGCTGCATCACCTCTATTCACCCTCATATAGAGACAGTGTGGGAGACAGTAACTCTTACAGACTCACTGACTACTTTAATCAGACCTTTAAAACACACAATACTTGTCATACTACTTTTTTTCTACGTTTTACTCACAGTCACCATTACAAACTAAAGCCAGATTTGTTAGACCGTGTACATAACACTCACTTCTAAATAGAAAATGCTTTAAAGTTTTATATACATTAAAAAAAAACACCCTCTTAATAGCGTAATATAATTTATAAGGAGCTATATTTCCATGGTATACATCAGACAGGAACAAAAAGCAGCCTGTGTGAAACTGAAAACAAATCAAATATATCTTCATGTGTGTCATTTTGTTTTACTATTTTCCAGCAGTCTGCACTTCCTCATAATCATATAGCAAAACACTGATGTTGTCTTTCTACCATCAGAACTACCCTCTGTCTAAGATGATTAGCAGCGCCCAGTCTTGCAACTACAAGTTTGACAACCAGAAGAAGCACATGACCAGAGGAATCTGCACAGAGCAACACACCTTCCTGCCCCTCTCCCACCAGTAAGTTTTAAAACAATGAAGTATCCATTAAACCAAATTTACCAAGCATTTTAGATTTTTTTTAAAGTGACCCATTTCTACAGAGGGCAGAGCACAATACTATATGAATTGTAGGTTTGTTTCATTATTTAGGGAATGTCTGGACTCATATATAACACAGAAAAATACTGTATGTGTTGCATGAATTATTTTGTGCTTTATTATGAACATTTAATTGCTTGAAATCTGAAGCACATTTTAGGATTTGTTACAAAAAGTTACAAACAGACCAATAGAGGTTGTTGCTATAAAAAAATGTATTTTTCAAGAGACCTATTATGGTGAATGTGTTGCAAATGTCTAACTTCCTCTGCAAACAGGAATGAATATAGCATTTTAACAATGGTGAAGCAGACTGTAACTCTGAGGGAGACCGCCAAGATCAATGACAGAGTCTTTGACCGCAGTGAGTATTTCACTTTTTAAACATAGCTTGTAAAATACCATAATTTGCTTGTCTCAAGCTTTTCTGCATTTTCTTACTGTTTGTGATACAATTCTGTGCAGATGAGGATAACCGCAAGTTCTTGTCCATGGACGTTGCTGACAACAAGTCCCCTGTGCAGACCAAGGATGCTGCCATTGCAACAATGCAGCAGCTGAACACCCTGTCACAGACCACTCAAGGCGAGGAGCGTGCCAGTCTCTTCCACAAGCTGGTGTCTGAGCTGCGTGGCTTGAAGGTTGATGTCCTGGGATCTGCCACCGTTGAGATGATGGACATGTCCCAGTCTCTGACATGGCAAGCTCTGGCTCAGTGCGGCACCCCAGAGTGCACCAGTGCCATGATGAAGGTTCTCAGGACCTTTGACGAAGGTGCTGTAGAGGTCGATGCTGCTGTCTACGCCCTGGGACTGCTGCCTAACCCCTCCCGCCTCATGGTGAAAGACATGCTGGCAATGGCTCAGTACAGACAGAGCAAACCCATCATGTATGCTCTGAGCAATGCAGTCAGAAAGTAAGTAAACATATATGTGATCATTTTTACATATGAGGAATGTCCTCCATAATACTGCAGCAGTGAGTGGTGGTTTCTGTTGACACTAATGTCTAACTTTGTCACTAGACTATACCAGGTTGAAGGCGTCACCCCGAGATCACTGCTGTCTCTGAGTTTATGGCTTCTCTCCTGGGCGCAGACTGCGCTGGGGAGAAAGATCTGACCTTCCTGATCTTGAGGGTAGGTAACCAGCTGTGAACATAGACTGCTTAAAAAAATATGGCAACTTCTATTCCCATGTTTGTTCTAATTGCGTCATGCAGTTAGTTAAAAGTTAATAATCAAAATAATAACATATAATACGGTCTAGATTAGTCCTTATTTGAAAACATATGAAATCTGAAATAATTCAAATGGAATTGAATTGAAGTAAATTGAATTGAATATTCTTTCCAGGTTGTTGGTAACATGGGAGATGCAATGGAGGCTGCTGACCCTGCTATAAAGAACACCCTGCTGAAGTGCATGAGACAGCCTGCAACCACACTGTCTGTGCAGCTGGCCGCTATCCAGGCTTTCAGACGCATGTCTGTGACTGATGAGGTAACAAACATTCCCCTCCAGAGATGATTAGTATCCTAGTTTCTTAGTTTTATAATGTGGAGTTTCCTGAAATACAGTGACAAACAAGCTACTGTTTTGTTTTTTTTTTCTATCCAGGTTCGCTCTAACCTCCAGAGGGTCAGCCAGTACCCCAAGGGTGCTGTGCAGAAGCGCTTGGCAGCTTACCTGATCCTGATGAGGGATCCCAAGGACAGTGACATTGAGATTGTCAAGAAGCTGCTTAATCAGGAGCAGAACACACAGATCAAGTCCTTTGTGAGCTCCCACGTCTACAACATAATTTCCTCCACTGATTCTGAGACCCAGAAGTAAGAATAAAGCAACTTACTTACTAAACTTAAAGCACAATTTATGCTTTATTTCATTGAAATATTGAACTGATTTAACAATACACTTATATACTTATACTCAGCTCATTGTTTTACATTTTATTATTACCCTAGGCTCGGTAAGAAGATCATGGATGCCCTGCAGGACACTGACGTCACCACACACAACGACTTCACCACAAAGTCTCGCAACTACAAGCTTGGTGTGGCACATGAGGACATGCAGGCCAGCATTCAGGGCAACATTGTCTTTGATCCTAGTAGCCAGTTGCCAAAGGAGGCCTTGCTGGAAACTACCCTGAAAGCCTTCGGTTTCAACATGAACATTTGGGAGGTATGTATTACTGTAGGTCTAATTTATTGCAGCATGAAATTGTAATTTTACACTCATAAGAAACACTAGCAAAGACACTTTGATAACAGTAAAAAAAAAAAAAAAACTACATTGATGTGTGTCTTATTATTTTTTTAATTATTATTTGGTGTATTTGACTTTATGTTTGTCTGATACTACCTATCTGCTACTGAAATTAAAGCTAAGCAGCATATATAAGAGAATAGTTTGGCCAAGATTCAGACACAACCCAATTTAAATTTAAATCTGTTCTATTTTTCCAATAGGTCGGCATGGAAGGAAGGGGCTTCGAGCCAACCATTGATGCTTTGTTTGGAAAGAACGGGTTCTTCCCTGACACTGTTGCAAAGACTCTGTACTGGGCTGTAGACAAGATACCAGAACTGGATAGACTGGTTGCTACAGAGTCAGAAGGAAGGAAGGTATATCTTGTGTTTAATTATTAAAGTTAAACACTCTCAGTCTGAGTTATGTTGTTGATTTCACTCATACCACCGCAACTAAAACAACTTTTTTTCATAAGGTTCCCGAAAATCTTGTCAGAGAAATTGTTCGCAACTTCAACAAGCTGGTTAAAGATCTGCAGAGTCAGGAGTCCCCAGAGGCCACAGCCTACCTGAGGATCATGGGCACTGAGCTTGGCTACATCAAGGGCAATGAACTGAAGTCTATTGCTTATAACGCAATGATGTATGCAGACATTTTCATGAGGATCATTCCTACCAAGGTACCTTTCTGCACTCCTGTTATCCGTTCTTATCATGCCTGTCCAACAAATTACAACTCCTTTTCAATACCACAACGAGGGAGAATTCAACTTGGCTGTTTTATTTTTATCAGGTCATGGCTGAACTGATGTCCAGCACTAACAATGAGATCTTTGCCCATTACATCTTCATGGACAACAAATTCATCATCCCAACAGCATCTGGCTTGCCTCTGACATTTGCTCTGTCTGGCACCTTTACTTCTGGCGCAAAGGGAGGCCTTCGCCTGGCTCCAAACATGGTATATTTTCCATCTTTTGTCCTCAACCTCATAATCAATGCTCTATCATAAGAGTCAGTTATAGTTTTATTATTATGCTGTTTCTATTTTATGGAGGTATTTCCTCAAATGTCCTGCATAGTCTTAGTAAAAGTTAAGATAATAATAATGTTAACGATGAGTATAAATAGTAGTAGTCTAATAGTTTTTGTTTTTTTCATGACTGCAACCGATTTAATTTCATGTGATCTGTTTTTGTTTACAGAAGGAGCTGTTGTTCATGCCCTCCGTTGGAGTTGAGTTTGTGACTCAGATGGGAGTCAATGTCCCTGAATTCGTTGAGTCCACTGTTGAGATGCACACCAACATGTACCATGAGAGCGTGCTCAATGCCAAGATCAGTATGGAGGAGAGCCAGGTCAAGCTTTCCATTCCCGCCCCTCAAGGAACCACAAAGCTCTTCAGCATCAGGTAACAAATAACATAATATGCATTTATGCATTATGTTTAATGATAATAATGAATGCAATGGTACAAAGTAGCCACTAGTAGGGGTTTTAGTGCGTTTCAACATGTGGCGCCATATTGTATTGTATGTGATCTTTATTACATCATGTTCATCAAAGTTATTAGAACATAGAAACTGATTTGTTGTTTTTTTTTTCCTTTGAAACAGCAATAAAGTGCTGATTGTTGGCGCTGGTCAGGCAGCAATGATCCCACACACAGAGGGCGAATCAAGCTGCAGACCTCTCTTCTCTGGAGTCAGATACTGCACCAAAACACTTCGTGCTAACGCTCGTGACAATGCTGCTGTTCCCTACTTCCCCGTGAAGTAAGTTGTTCTTTGAAGATCTGTGATTATTTTATTTTAATTTCACTGATGGCAGCATACTGAATAATTATCATTCTTTAAGTGACAAGGAAATTTAGTAGTGTCTCGTCTGTGTAATGTGACATAGGCTATTTCAGTAAGATAGAGGTTGTTGATTGGGATGGGAATAATGATGAGGGACAGTTGAAAAGTAGATGGGTCGAGTAGGTTTGAATAGTCAAAACTGCACCACTCATTTCATTCACATCATTTTGATTTTAGAATTTCTGTCCCCCTCCATATTTGCCCAGCTATCATAAAAAAAATGTGTACATGTACGGGTATGCCATTCTTAAATACTGTTCAGTATTATAAAGTAATACAGTAAATACTTGTGAGTTGTTTTGTTCATTTGTTTATTTTTTGTAGTTTTCTAGATACACAGTACAATATCATGGGAGACTTTAACTTTGTTCTTTTTCTTTAGGTTTTCTGTGGATATCAAGCCTTCTAAAGAGGTCTCTGAGTACACAGCCACCATTGCCTATAAACTTCTCAGTGAAGGAAAGGACGGTCGCCACAAGGTTGATTCTTTGAAGTTTGCCCTGAAAGCTGAGGGTATGAGCATCTTATTTGAAAAACAATTACATTGATTTCAGTTTTTCTTTTTTATTTTATAGGGTTACATGCATAAATAATCAATTTATGCTTTTTCTAACTGTGTGGCTTTAGGTGCTCAGCCTACCGAGGCTACAGCCATGATGAAGTACAACAGGAACAGGAATGTTTTCACCACCCAAATCGAGATACCTGACTTTGATGTTGAGGCCGGAGTTAAGATTGGCCTGACCGACAGCAGTGCCAGAGGCAAAACCATTACCCTCGAGATCACCAACAAGAACGTGCCCCAGCTCTCTCTGATTGGCCGTGCCAAGTGAGTCAACCCAGCCACAAAATTTGTTTAAACACACTGTCAATATATAATATATCTTACTTAAAGCTGCGTACTTATTTACACATTTCACAGTCTTTATGCAATTTTTTTATATAAAATCATTGACTAGATCATGTTATTTTTATTATTCACAGGCTTCAGGCCATGACTGATGGCATGCTGCAGGTTCAGCTGTTAGTCCCCTCACTCAAGACTGATGCCACCGTCACCGCTACAATGAGCAAAGTTGATGGACTCACCATGGAGATCAAAAGTGATGTCAAGCTCCCAGAGACCTCCTCCATTCAGGCAGTCACATTCAAATATGGTATGTTTTTTTAAGAAAATAGTGCTAATGGACTTCAGAGATTAATAATTTATACTGTCTCAAATGTAAAAGTAAAATGCTAAATGCTAAATGCTTTGTTTATCAGGCGAAGAGCAGGCTGAGGTTCAGCTGATGTCCAATATGAATGCTGATACTAAGATCCTGGTGCCTTACACTGAAGCCCTGCAGGCCTGGCTCAGGCAGTTTGTGGAGGATGCCATGGACCAGCAAGTTGTCAAGACTGACATGAAACTGCGTCATATCATCAACAAGGCAGTTGAGGTAAAAAATAATAGTCATTGAAACAATTTTAGCGGAACTTGGCTTTGTTCTAGTTTTTCCAGACTAAAGCGTACTAAATTTGTTATTGTTTTTTCAGGCCGGAGATATCTGGATGGACAAGATCTCAAGTGATGTTCCCTATGTTGAAACTCTGAGGAACAGAATGACAAATGTGGAAATGCCTTCCATGCCTTCCATGCCTGAAAACCTTTTCATGAACCTGTAAGTAAACCCAACATCTAATAATATTTATCCCAGCTTTATCCTGATTAAGTTGTGAAAAATATACATTTACTCACCTGTTTAATGTCATGTTAAATTTAACAAATGTTCTGCTTTCATCGTTTCGCCAGTGAAAGCACATTCAGATACCAGTTCAACCAGGACCGTCTGACCATCAGTATTCCTCTGCCACTTGGAGGCAAATCATCTGAGGAGCTGAGGATACCTGCAGTGGTTTCCACCCCAAGCATATCCATGCCTCAGCTGGACATGGAGTTTCCCTCAAAGGAGATCCAGATCCCCACTTTTACCATTCCTTCTGAATATGATCTCACCCTGCCTCTGATGGGAATGGCGGAAGTGTCTGCCAAGGTCAACAGCAACTATTATAACTGGGAAGCAACGGCATCTGCTGGTAACAATACTGCCGAGTCTCCTAGCTACTTGGCCAAGTTCAACATCCAGGCTGACAGTCCAATCAAGTTCCTTTCCTTCTCAACTGAGGGTAATTTAATCTTTATAATTTTATTTAATGAGAATAATTCTACATTTGTTATTTAACACAACAACAAAAGTTTGCACGAATTAACATTTTCACTGTTTTGTCTGTTTTAAAGGAGCTACAAAAATCATCGACACAGCAGAAAAAACGATGAAATTCACCATTGATGGTTCCCTGAACCACATGCTCTTGGACACAAGTTTTAATGTGCTGGAAACCATTGCTGTCACAGACAATGTAATGTCAACAGGAAAGTACAGCGTGCACGCTGTCGCCCCTCTGGGTCTCGAGACGTCTCTGACAGTTACCACCCAGGTCGTCCTAGACTCAAACATACTCTCTGGAGATATCAACACAGACGGCAGTGTGTCTGTTGGACCAATGACTGCTAGCACCACCTATCTCCACACCTTCTCTGTTGAGCCAGCAAAGAAAGAAGCAAGATTGGAGAGTACACTGAGAGTGAACTCTGAAATCCTGAAGGTTGCAAACAAGATCAAGGCATCATATGCAAATGAGGAACTTCTGATTGAGTCAAACACCAACATGAACAGTGACCCCATCAAGCACACCACCAAAATTAGCCTTAGCTACAAAGATGTCAAGCTTACCGTCCAGTCCGACTCTGTGACCAAGGCAGATGATAGAATGCTTCGTAGCCAGATTGAGTTCTCCGCCTCTGAAGGACAGGCTAGCCTCAGGATAGAGAATCAAGCTGATGACACAGAGAACCGTGCCTACTCTTTGCTCACTGGGTCCATGAATCCCTCCGGCTTGGAGATCAATGCTGATGCCTCTTTGAACATCTTTTCAAGCCTTGCCTCTCACAAGGCAACTTTGGCCCTGAACATGAATGGCCTGACCACCAGCTGTACAACAACTGCTCAGCATAGCCCAGTGACCTTTGAGAATGTTTTCCATGGTGGAGTTGATGCCTCTGGTGCCACCATTTCTCTCACCACCAAGGGAGCCATTAAGGAGAACAAAGCTGAGTTCGGTGTTGAGGGAAAGATTGCAAGCACAGAAGTGTATCTCAATGGCGTCCTTAAGGGTAACCTCTTTGACATTAACACCAGGAACAGAGTGAACCTCAGAGTGAATGAAGATGGCTTGATCCTCTCCAACAACATCGTTGGATCTCTCAATGAGATGAGGACTGAAAACACCCACTCACTGTCTCTCACAATGAGATCTTTCACCCTCCACTCCAAGACTGACAACGTCCTCGACAATAGGAACTCCTACATGCATGACATCACAGTTAACATGGAGCGTTTTATTGCTTCAGTTAATGTGAAAAATGACCTGAAGATCATGGAGATTAACTTTGTGAATGATGCCCAGTTCAAGGCAGAGCCCTACAACATGGAGCTGACTGGAACAATGATGGGAGTCTTCTCAGAGGAAGAGCTCAAGCACACCTATGAAGTCAAGTTTGTCGACATGGTCCTCTCTGCAAAGTGCAATACCAACGGCAAACTCCTGGGAACTCACACGACACATACCACTGATATGGAGATTGCTGGTCTGAACGTGAAGTTCAACAATGTGGCTAACTTCAACTCACCATCTCTTCGCCTGGACAGCACAGTCAAAACTGTTGCTGCCCCCTTCACTCTGAACATTGATGCCATTTTCAACTCAGATGGTGCAGTGTACCTGTATGGACAGCAGAGCGGCGAACTATACAGCAAATTCCTCCTGAAAGCAGAACCCCTGTTGTTCACACATTCATTTGAGTCCAGAGCCTCAACCACCCATGAACTGGAAGGCAGACCCACTATCAAGACCAATATGGAGAACAAGTTCAACAGCATGCTGAGCCTCCAAGAGCAAAGTGTTTCACTGAAGATGACATCCAAAGTAAATGAGCACACTTTTGATCAAGAAATTAGTGCCTATAACAATGCAGAGAGAATGGGTATTGAGATGATGGGAGCTGCCTCAACCCCTCTCCTCAGTGATGCCAGCAACGATTATGCCATCTCTGGATTTGTGAAATATGACAAGAACAGTGACAGCCACTTCATCCAGATCCCTTTCATTGAGCATCTGCCTGCAGTTATTGAAAACGTGAAGGCCACAGTGATGAGGCTGGTGGACAACAGCATTGAGATGCTGAAAGACATCAACACCAAGTATGAGATCAGTGCCACGTTTCAGAACAAAGTGTCAGAACTGAAGGAGGTCATTGACAATTTTGACTTCAACCTCTTTGTCCAAGACTTGAGAAAGTTTATCAACTCAATGGAAAACTTTGTGACCAACCTGATAGCCAAGTTCCCAACTGACAAAGTCATGAATGAGTTGAAATCAATGAAGGACACTATCATGGCTTGGATCAAGAAGTATAACATTGCCAACAAGTTCAATGTCATTATCGCCAAAGTAGAGGAGATCCTCTCTAGCTATGAGGTTGAGAACATGATTGGAGCCATCATGGATGAGGTTGTTAAAATAATGAAGCAGTATCAGGTGAGGGAAAAGATTCAGTCTGCCTTTGCTGCTCTCAGGTCAATTGACATCCAGCCTCTGCTCAAAAGACTTGTGGTGCCTGTTCAAGAACTTGTGAATGAACTGTATTCCTTTGACTTCAAACAGCTGATTGAAGACATGAGCAACTACTTCATGAGAATGGTTCAGAAAATCACATCTTTTGATTATGACACATTCACTATGGAGTTGAAAGAAAAAGTAGCAGAAATGAGCAAGATTCCCTGTTTTGGAAAACTCTACGGAGAGTTCAGAGTTACCTCACCTCATTACACACTCAGGACCACTGCTGACCTGGAAAACACCACAACTACATCAGTCACACCTGAGTTCAAAATTAACCTTAACTCACAGGCTACATCAACTTTGAGAGTCCTTGACTTCATTGTGGATGCCAGTGCTAATGTTGCTGTACCCTTGATGAGTGGTCTGTCCATCTCTGAGAACATCAAAGTTGACCAGTCAAGTTTTAAACTTGACCACACAGGAATAATTACATTCCATGGCCTGTTAGCTGAAGCTTCTGCTGAAACTAGTGCAAATACCAACACTGAGCTCTATGTTGCAGAGCTTGTCAATAGTGCAATCTTTTCCACGGAAAATGGAGTTTCTGCCAATGTGGAGACTGGCTACAAACATAACCTCAACATGCCACCCCTCAAAATCTTCTCTGAAACATCATTGAATCAAAAGACCATTTTCCTGCTTGAGGCTGGCACTGCCCGTCTGACCATTAATAATCTGGCCAATGGAAAATATGCAGTTCAGGACTTCTCAGATGACGCAACCCACAAGAGTGACATGGAGGTGGTCATGGATCTCCACACAACCAAAGTGACTTTCACTGGAGCCACAGGCAGCAGCAACTTCAAAATGGATCAAAATGTGGTTGCCGATGTATGCATTTTCCGCCATGTAATTATTGATGCCAAGGTTGAGACAGAAACACCTGTCATGAAGAACAGCGTTGCAGAGGTCAAGTTCCAGGCTAAGGCTGAAGACTTGAAAATTGATTTCACTGCCTCTCACAATGCAGAGCTAGTTGGACAGGTTGAGGGAACTCTCTCAAGCTCTGCACTTGCTTTGATCACACCAAGTGAGCTTATGTTTGACACCAAGAACAAGGGAAATGCCAAAGTTGCCCTTCCATTTGACCTGTCTGGAAAGATGGATCTCCAGAATGACATTTCTTTTACCCTGAACTCTGAAGCGCAGCAAGCTAGCTGGACAGGTCTGGCCAGATTCAACCAGTACAAATACTCCCATTACTTTACCTTAGATAATGGTGACAGTGAAATTAACATATTTTCCCAGATTAATGGAGAAGCAAATCTGGATGTACTGAAGGGGCCTATCACCATTCCTCAGATAACTGTGCCATTTGTTGGTTTGAAGACACCAAGAGTGGAAGACTTTTCACTGTGGGAAGACACTGGCCTGAGCTACTTCCTGATCACAACTCAGCAGACATTTGACATGAACTCCAAGCTGAAGTACATGAAGAACCCTGAGATGATCACCATTGACATCAATGTGGAACCAATCATCAATGCCATTAATACCAATGTCAAGACTCTGCACAAAAAAGTGCTCATCGGCAAGGATAAGGCTGCTGCCATGCTGGCTGCATCTTATGACAACGCAAAGGCAGAGTATGAAAAATATAGCATTGAGTTGCCCAAAACCATCACAGTCCCTGCCTACAAAGTCCCAGTGATGAATGTTGAGGTGTCCACATTCACCATTCCCCTGCCTGACTTCAGTCTCATCACAATGCCTGCTCTGCATGTTCCATCTGCTCTCAGCAAGCTCACTTTCCCAAAAATCACTCTGCCCAAAATCCCAAGCATCAAAATCCCTGTAATGGGTGATCTGACCTATGATTTCTCCATGAAAACAGCAATGATCACGCTCAAAACTGATGCCAGCATCCTTAACCAGGACAGCATCATCATCAGACTGAATTCTTCATCAATCTCTGAATGTGAGTTTCTGAATGGAAAGATTGAAGGCAACACCAATGTGAACACAGTCAACGGATTTAAAATGGCCTCTGTCCTGTCTGCAAAACATTCAGTCCTAGAGGGAAACCATGACAGCACCATCTTCTTAAGTTATGACAATGTGGATACCTCCATCACCAACTCAGCAAAGGTCAATCTGCCCTACCTGACTATGGAAATCAACCAGGAGATTACTGGAAATCCAGATGAAGGCCTGGTTGTCTCTATGTCCACTCCATCTGCAGGACACATCGCACTTCAGATGCAGACTAAGCGCCCAGCACAAGTGAAAGCGAGAGTCTATGGTCGCTACCCAGTAAGATAACTTTTGCTTACTTGTTTTCTTACCATTTACCTTTGATCGTGACCTCATGTAAATAATGTATTTATTATATTTTAGTAATATATGTTTATGTTTCATGTTTACCTTTTTCAACAGTCTGAGCCAACAAGAGACATTGAAATCCTGGGTCTGAAGATGTCTGTGATGAACTCTGAGAAGCTGAACCTTCAGACGACCTGGAATGTGGAGATGCCATATGAGATGATGCTGCGACTGAAGAAACAGGTGCCCACAGTCATGGAAATTGTGTCTGAGCCTGCTACCAGGACATATAACACAATCTACAGACATGCTAGAAGCCTTGAGGGTTCTTTTGAACAGGTTAGAAACCAGGGTAAAGTGATGTTCAGGAAGGCTATTGATAACCTTGCAGCAGTGAAATCATCCAATGTTATAACAACTGTCACAGATAAGACCATTTTGATCCTCAAAGAGTACCAGAAGAAAGTTGAAATTGTTTTTGATGCTGTTGTTAAATTCCTGAGAGAGACGAAGTTCCAGATCCCTGGGTATGAACAGAGGCTGTCTGGACTTCAGGTCTACCAGAAATGCAGTGCTTTTGTTGCCGATGTATCTGAGGAGGCTGTCCAAAAGATTCCACAGTACTTTACCTCTATGTTTAAGGCAGTCCTTGATTATATCAACACCATTGAATTTACCCTTCCTGGCTCTAACCATGTTGTCCGTGGAAGAGAAATTCTTGATGACTTGTTTGTAGCTTTGAGGAAAATTCAGAACCAAGTGATTGTCACTGTGAAGAGTCTGGGGGATATTCAGCTGGAAGATATAATTAACAAATTATCTGCAATCATGCAATTTACCATTGAACAAAGTGAGAAGTTTCTCCAAACCATAAAATCTCAGAACTCAGAAAGACTCTACACCTTTGTGACTGATGTATACAATGATGCCATGAACTCCCGCGCCCTGTCGGTTGTTGTCGAGCAGGTTGAAGAGGCCCAAAGAATTGTTATTGAATATCTAAAAGCTGTGAGAGCTAAACTCCAGACTATTTTGGCTGACATGTCTAGTGCACAGCTTCAAGCTGACATCCAGTCCTGGATTGACGTATTGGTAAAACGTGTGAATGCTTTCCACAACAATGTCATCAAGACCCTGAAGGAAAAAAGTAAAAATGTTGAACCATTTGTGAAAGTAGGAGACAGACAGATGGAGGTTAACATTCCTTTACCATTTGTTGCCAAATCCAACTAACTGACCATGGCTAACAGTGTTTGTATTGACTGTGTCTATTGTGTAACCGTTTAAGACAACAGTAAATCTATTCTACCAAAAATACAAAGCTGCCTGCTAATAAGTGTTGCCTGTACCCATTTTTGTCTCTCTATTCTGTTTTTCAAAATTAATTTTGTTTATTTCACAGTTTTAGAACTACTGTTCTCCCTTTGTGTCTTGTACTATTTAAAAAACAATATGTGGTCTTCAATAAAGACAGTTTGTACTGCATCCATCTCTGCTCATGTCTTATATGTTCTTTAATATGAACAAGAGAAGACATAACGTCTTCATAGGCTTATAATGGTGAGAGTGTAGGAGAAAGGTACTATGATAGGTAGATTTTCACAGACTGGTAAAAAATGTCTTCAAAATTATTGTTCCTCCAAGATGGTGTTATGGTCTATAAACTGGCATTCTTCTGACATGAAGCACTTTAGTTTTAGGAAATGTTGCTTCCCCTTAAACACACAAAATATAATTGCTCATAAAAAAAACTACATACTGAACACAGTCACAATGTGGTTTAATTCTAAAAAAGCTCCCTACCCATCCCTGCCATATGCACATGAATCATTTGTATCCTCAGGTCTAAATTTAGCAGAGACACAAATAGCTTCTGTGACACACAAGCTCACTTATCACAGAACACTGAGAATAAATACAGATACAGAGAGTTTGACAGTTGTTAACAATAGTATAAAGCTGAGTCCTAAAATATGAAGAGTGTACTTTCGAATACATGAATACATTTTTCCAATGATAGCAATTGAGTACGTGTAATCATCAGCGGTGGTGGGAAATGTATTCAGATTCTCCTCTTAAGCCAAAGTGACAACATACTAGTATAAAAATACTCCATTGCAAGTTCATTTAGAAGATTTATCACCTAAATGTATAGAATATCAAAAGTACAAGACTCTTGTAATACAGAAAAAAGTCATATGTGACTGCTATATTATCATACATAATATATTATGGAAGTAGTGATGCATTCATTATGTGTAAGCAGTATTTTAATGTTCTAACTTGCTAGGAAGGAGCTGTTTTGAACTACTTTACATACCGCTGGGTAGGTAGTTAATTCTATAACCAGGCATCTTTAGCTCATAATATGTTCTGTCTGTAAAATAATAATCAGCAAATTATCTAACTAATGCTGTCAGATGGATGTAGTGGAGTGAAAAGTAAGTAAATGTACTTAGTTACTTTCCACCACTGACCATAGGGCCAATATTAACTTTGTGGGTAAATGCATCCTGCCAAAAACTTAAAAAAAAAAACACAAATGCAACACATGGTGTAATTTACTAAATATAGCAACAAAGTTCATATAATTGTCAATAAATACATTTGATTTTCTTTCAAGCTGAAACTAATGTCAGCTGCAATACCACGTTAAGTTTTTAGAGTAAGAAAATGAGGCAAAAGAATGGAAAAGTAGAGGTGGTGACACACATTGATTCTTTTATTGACTGTCCCAAAACAGTACCACTTGTTCCCTTACATTCTGTGTTGCTTTTCCTCACAAAAACAAATACTTTCATTGTTCCCCATGTACCATTCAAACTTAGAAATGACATCATTACATTAATGTGATCAGTCATCAATTTGATCTCTTAGAAACAAATATGTTTGGCACATTTTCAGCATTTGTCTTCTCTGTGATCCTACAGTTTTATTCTTCTAAAATAAAGAAAATGGGGGAAAACTGCACTGTCTGATCAGTGAATAGTAACCTTCAACAACATTGAAAATCAGAGGCACATGAGGGGGGCCAGTGTGGGAAAATTAACCAGTCCAGCACAATGCATTCCTGTCCTGTAAGTCAGCAAAAAGCCCAGCAACAGAAGGAGGAATGTGACTTTTTACACCATTGTACCTATGGTTGGATTTATAAAAGATACTCTTCTAAACTCCGATTTCCCCCTTACTATGGTTGCTTACTGAACCAGAGGAAAATTACATGTATAAAGCAAAATTTAGCTCTGGTTATCACTAAAAGAAACACTCATATTGTGAATCCACCAGGGTTTTTTTTGCCCTGGATTCTCAGTGTAGCAACAGTCTCTGTAATTGATGTTCATAGCTGTCATTTGAACAAGCTCTCCCACCATCATGTGAGAGGACAGCAACACAACACTTCTGTGGAGACACGGGTCAAACATGAGCTGAATTTATTACACAAGTAAACAACAAAAAAATAAGCTCAAATACATTGATTTCTGTTGCCAACTTCGAAAGCTCCAACAATATTTTTGACCAATTAAATTTGAGGTACATTCACAGTCATAATGGAAGAAGTTAAGTCTATTTCATTTTGTCTCTCTCCACCGATCAAAATTCAGTTTTACTGCAGTAAAACGTTTTACAGCTTTAAAGAATTTATGTTTTAGTCAAAAAAAAGTACCATTTTGTCTAAGTTTTTGTACTTATTATATGATTGTGGTTTTAAGAATATAAACACATTATCATTGAACTTTTAATTGCCATCAGATTGGTTGTAAGTCCATATGAGAGTGTGCTACGGGCTCACAGAGCTCAAAACTCAGTCTTCCTTTCATAACATTTAATATTGTTTCACTGAGCAATCACATGATTCAACCATCTCACGCGCTCAATCTTCTCTTTGAAATATCACCAACTATTTCTTTTAACGAAGCAGAAGCTAAATAGAAAAATGTCAAGCGGAGTCTTCACAATCTTTTTAGACATATGAGCTACACCTGATTCTGAGATGGTGTCACGGTACTGGTATGTGCTTGAAATTATTTGGTTCAGTTGAGATTTAAGGGTGAAAAAAATTATATTTCCCTTCCTTTGCTGGTTGTACTATTTACAGGCTACAATGCATCTGTGTAACTTTGTTCCTTCATTGTTTTAATAATGTTTAAAACTCTCAGTAATGTCCTCCCAGAATGAATCACTGCAGCCACCAGCAAGCATAACATTTGGGGTAGAAGCATGCTTAGCAAACTTTAAATAAAAAAAAAAGAGATAAATATCTTTTTTTTTTTATTTAAAGTTTGCTAAGCATGTTTGTACATTTAACTGTAACAATATCCACCTGAAAGCTACAATATGGTTAGCCCTTTACAAGATTGGCCAACGTGTAGCCTCTTAGACCTGTGATGGTATCCGGCCTGCTGTATACAAACTACTGAACTAATAAATACTGGAGGAGTCAAAAACATAACACTACTTTCTAGATGTGGTTCCAACTAACAAACCGAAGGCAACTGATGTCATTAACTGTAAACTTAAGCTATGTGTTTATTCAAAATGGCGGGAAAAGATCAACATCAGAAGGAAAACTCTACTGAACATCATCATCATAGAGCATCCTCGCACTCACTTCGTACTTTCTGTATTAAAAAAATGGTTCTGTGGATTACTGTAGTGTCCAGGTGCTGTGCAATTTCCCCAAAACAATAAAAACAGTCATTTTACAATACAAAGTGGACATAAATAACGAGTGCAATTTTTGCTGCTTTGCTTAACACAAAGAATAACCTTGGCAGTGAGGCAGTGGCCCATGCAAACACTTTCATGAAACACAATAAAAAAAAAAAAGTGAGCAACTGAAATCCTGGCTCGAAAGCAGGCCTTTGGAAACAAGAAACTCATGTCCACGTTAGAAGGAGGGGTAAATAAGTCGCCCACTGCAATGTAGTGGTTTTGTCCCTTTACCCCCTCCACCTGTCAGACTGGGAGCATGTGACCCACAAAAAGAACATGCTGTGACCAGTGCGTTTCACACAGCAGACATCAGATCACCATCGACTGCGAGTCAAAACAACGGTGGTGGTTTTTGGTGTTTTTTTTTTCTTTTGTTGTTGTTGTAGTCACTTTGTTTGGTTTCCACCAAGGTCGTCTGGTTACAAAGGGAATATCCGAGCCGCGGTCACTGCCCCCATACATGTTCAGACACAGATCCCAGCACCCCCTCTCCACCACCACCACCACCACCCTCCTTGGGGAGGAAAACGTCTCGTCTGCGCGTCGCGGTTTCTCCACAGACACCGTCGATATTCACATCAAAACACAGCACTTGAGACACTTCCCCGATGGGGTTTTTCGTTTTTGCAAGGCTGCCCGTGTTGCAGTCTCGAACACCTCCCAGATCCCCTCCTTGGTTTTGGCCGAGCACTCCAAATAGTCATATGCGCCAATGCGCATGGCCATGGCGCGGCCATCCTCTGTTTTCACTGGCTCCAGCTTCAACCGGGACAGCTCGTTCTTCACGTTCTCGTCGTTACGCAGATCCTTCTTGTTGGCCACTAATATGATGGGCACATTGGGGCAAAAGTGTTTGACCTCGGGGACCCACTTCTCGGGGATGTTCTCCAGCGAATCCGGGCTGTCCACGGAGAAGCACATCAGAATGACATCTGTGTCCGGGTAGGAGAGGGGGCGCAGCCGGTCGTAGTCCTCCTGTCCGGCCGTGTCCCACAAAGCCAGCTGGACTTGCTTGTTGTCCACTTCTATGTCCGCCACATATGTCTCAAACACAGTCGGAACATACACCTCGGGGAACTCGTCCTTGCTGAATAGGATCAGTAGACATGTCTTCCCACACGCGCCGTCCCCCACCACGACAAGTTTCTTGCGTATGTCTGCCATTCCGCTCCTGTTGTTTCCCCTCCGCTAGCTCTCGCTTAAAATGTCTCATCCAATCTAACACATGAGCCCGACACACTCCACTCCCTTATATTTATATATATACTCTCTAAATGGGGCTGGACAGACGCTGTCCCATAAAGCCGCTCCCGTCTCCAAACTCAAGAACATTTACCAGCAACCACTGCGATCTCTTTATAAAGCGCAGGGTGGTTTCCTAAATATAGCAATCCAATCGGAAATAGGGAGGTGAGATCACAGTTTGTAGAGGAAGAGGTGATTGGATCTCATCGGGTTTTCCTTATGTAGAGGAGGGTCATGGACCACGAGGACCCACCCGATCCAGGATCAGCCCAAAAAAAAAAAAACCAAATCTAAACTGCATGAGGATGCATTACGCGACATTTTTTTTTTTTTTTTTAAATTCTTCTTTATTCTCGGTTTCTCGTCATTAAAACACCTTGGGAAAAATGTTTTAGTATCTGCTGCTTCATGACTCAGTAAAACACTGATCACACATTTTAATGAGCTATAATTAAATAAGCGTAAATTCAGAATAAGATGTTTTATATGCAGCAATATAAACCCTTTTTTTTTTAAATAACACAATGGATATATGGTCATTAATAGGCACACTTTGAACACCTTGAGGCCGATATATTGCCTTCACATGGCGTACAAAAGGTACCACAAGGGGGAAAGGAACATTTTCATTGACATTGTTATACGCATGTCTACGCAGTTCACGCTGTTTACAGGGAGGGGGCACCAGCGAAGGCAAACTCTGAGCTCTGATCAAGCCTTGCTTAGAAAAAAAAAAAAAAAAAAAAAAAAAAATCACCGCTCTCTCTCCAAGGAAACAAAACAATAAAGAGTAGAGAGTTGACGGCGAGCGACAAGCAGAGACCCTCTCTCCACTCGACAACGCGTGAGTAGCTCCTCTTTATCTGTTCGCGTCGAGGCTCCAAAAAAAAAAAGCGAAACAAACCCGTCTTGTGTGTGTGTGTGTGTGTGTGTGTGTGTGTGTGTGTGTGTGTGTGTGTGTGTGTGTGTGTTTTTGGGACTGCCGTGGTGTGAGTGTGTTTCCCCTTTTGTTTAGCGGTTAAGGCCCCTGTGTTTGGGACTTGAAGGGGGGGCCATGTTGTTCAGCCACTGACTGGCTCGGTTGATGTTTTAGCTCACACACAACAGCAACTTGGCAATTAGCGGGGTTTTTTTGTTGTTGTTGTTGTTGTTTTCTTTAAAAGCTAGCTCTTACGTTAGCTGATTTTGGTTTATTTATTTTTTTTGGTTGGCTTGTTGTTGTTGCATACGGTCAATGTGGGATTTTTAACCCGAGCTAGAAAGCCTGCTTGTTTCCCTGTGTTACACTGGATCCACCCGCTGGCTGCACACACTGTGGTAAATTCGTGAATTTAACTTTGATGGATAATAAACAGAGCAGGCCCGCGGCGGCTAGCGTTAGCTTGATTAGCTAGGGATGTTGCTAACGCTAACTCCGGTGTAGTGATAGCAGCAAACGCGAAACATGTCGTATTTACGCCAGTGCCGCCGAACAACTTGACGTTTACACAACGATGTGGATGTGAACTCTTCGCCATTGGCCGTTTAAAACCCGTAAATTACGTAAATTCCCAGTGAAAGCCGCGAAGTTAGCTCCGCTTGTTAGCAGCGGACTTGCTAGCTAGGTTGGCTAGCTAGCTCGCCGAGAGGCTTGCACGTCGATTTTCTTCAATGATCAGCAACGTTGGACGCATTGTTGTAGCTGGTGGCTCATCTTTAAAAGCCAGCGACGGCTTTCATCGTGGCTAATAAAACAGCTACTAGTTTCTAGTTTTTATTTTTTAACTCATTATTAACGTTTCATTAATGGTAGCGTTGCATTAGCTGCTAACACTAGGCTACCGATAATGTTACCCAGCTTATCAACATTGTTGTCGGTCTCTTGTTTTATTCTCGCCTTGCTCATTCACAGACCAGCAAACCAGTAAATTAGACCTCTCATTTGACGTTGTTGAACAAGCCGTGTGACTCATTTTTTTGGATATTTAGGGCGACATTTTCGTTTGTCTTCAACCGTGGCATGAAATTAGCAACTAGGGATTTTTATTTATGTCCCGTCGGTGAAAATGAAGTAGTACCATTTATCCCTGAGGTATTATTTTGGGTGCAACCTTTTCCGAAAGTGTACTTTTTGTTAAAAAAAAAGTTGTGTTTTCCCCCCTCCAGGCTCACAGAGGAGTCTGCTCTGAAGGCCACGTTGTAACTTAACAGCTTTCATTACTTAAAAGGAGGACACTAACTGTTATGTCACAATGGGTGCTACATTGACTTTACACGATTATATAAAGAAACTTAAATGATATATGTGAGGTTTTTGTGTAAGGCAGTCGCTCTGGTAGACGACTTAATCAGTCATGTGTTATATCTCTAAAGCGCCATGTACAAGGTTACATATTCATATGCTTGTATCTCTAAGCTTGATACATGTCTAGGGATTCACCGATTGGGAAGTTCTGGGCTGATACAGACGTTTAAAATAACAATTTGGCCGACAGTAGATGCTTATGTGCTCTTTTTCTGCCAGGGATACAAACAGATCTGTAAAGATAAACATCTCTTCCTTGTTGCAGCGAAGTCTTGTCTTCTCATCTGAGATCTGAGATGCAGAGCTGATCACAATCACTGTTTGTGCTGCTGTTTGCAATTTGTGCCAGTGCTGGAAAACAGAGGTGATTATTTCTTTCATATCTCAGTTGGAAATAACCAACACAACATTTAACCAGCGCAAAACTGATGCGACACAACAGATTAACACAGGCCACTGATATCGGTGAATGCCATTCAACCACATGCATTTCTGCTGATATATCGGTGCATCCTAATACAGGTCAACTTGAATGACGACTATAATTTATTGACAAAATCATGTTGTGTTTTGTTTAGGCTTTCCCGTGGAATGAGCGTTCCATGCAGCATCCTAAGTATGAATGACGTGGCCTGGCAGGAGACGAGAGGTGGGATGCTGCATGCAAATGGTGCTCCTGAGACTGGAGGTGTCAGAGTTCATGGTGGAGGGCCCCTAGCCACAGTTGGGGGAGCTGGACAGGCTCCTGGAGTTCCACATTTACAGGGCATGGACAGGGTTGTTAACCCTACACCAGGTACTCCCCAGGCTCCACTCAGTGGACGATCTCAGGATGATGCCACAGTTGGATACTTTTTCCAGAGGCAGCACGGAGAGCAGCTTGGAGGTTGCCCACCCAGCAAGCATCGCTGGCCAACTGGAGATGCAAACCATGTTGATCAGGTAAAGCGTCTTAATTCAGAGACCAGTTGTTGTAATGTTATTAAATTTAGAACTGGTTTTTTGCATCCGCATAGACTATAAGTGTAACTCAATATTGTATCAATAATAAAACCTGTAATTTATATATTATACTTTATGATGGTTGGTGTAAGGGTTGTCAGTTTCACCTACACATTTAAAAAAAAATGATTTCCTATTGTTGATTCTTATTTTTTAGGGCGCACCATCTTTTTCACTTTTCAGAGAAGTGCCCATCAGACATGGTTTAGATATGTCAACCCCGGAAAATAACGAAAGTAACAAAATGAATAAAAATGAAAGTTAATTCAAGAAATTTCACTGGATAACTTGTCAGTGGGCTTTTAGCTGGTCTTAGAGTTTGTGTTTGGATGCATAGCATGATGTGTTACACACAGTATAGCCCAGACAATAAAACCCTGTTAGTCACCAGTGACACTAGATCACATATCGTATGGTCAGTTAATCAGGGTTGATTTGCACCAGGTGTCAGCCATTCATCAATTACCATTTCCTCTAGGTATGTGTTATTGAAGTTAGAGCTGCTGAATAGAGCTGCTGTTGAGTGCAGCCATACAAGGGCTTAACAATGCCTGTAAATACAATGACAAATTCATCTCTCATAGGAAAATGTGAGTGTGTAGGGGTGTCAAGTTGAAAATGTACAATGTGTGCATATAATTTAACTGCGTTGAGGAAACAAAATAGAAATGTTCCTCATAACATCTGTATTTGTTTTTCTCCCTAATGCATGGTGTTTGTTCTATTGTGACTGAACAGAAATGTCACCAAAGGCAATTAAAAAGTGTTTGTTGCTGAGAAAATGCTGCTAAAAAAAGAGGCAGAAACTAAAAATAATTAAAGCCTATAATTTAATTCATCTAGATTCACTTATATAATAAATCACTAAAATTAATCGTAAAAAAGAGAATCCAGAAATTGGAACTATTTGTTACACCAGAGTGTTTGTGTTTTTATATGTTGACACCCTTAATTAATTTGCACTATTAGATAAGGTCCATCCACTCTGGGGCGTTTCCAGACTGTTTGGACCGGGTGGGGACACAAGTGGGGCACTGACTTATGCAGGAGTGGAATTTCCAGTCATTCCCAATTTATGCAACACTGTTTAGGGACCCCAGTATGTAGGAATATTCAAATACAGTAGGTGAAAAAATACCCACAGAGCCAAAGATATCTTGTTGTCATTGGCCCTTTTGATATGACCATGCTGTTTTTTTCCATTACCAAAATTCAGCCTAACTTTGGAGCATTATTTAGCCCCCTTTCCAACATGCTAGCATAGTTAACAATGGATGCATTAGTTTCATATACCAGTATCACTCTAGCTTTAAAATGGAGCCTGCTACAGCCTCTAGAAGACAGTGGAGTTCCCCCCCTTCCTGGAAACGCCCCTGCATCTACTCTCTGTATTTGCTTATCCCAGCACACATTGGGTGCAAATGGTGTACACCCGGAGCAGATCACCTTTCTGTCACAGGGAAAACACACATAAACCCAGGTGTGTTGAGACAGCAATAGTACTGCTGTCAAAAAAACACAGCCTCCTCATTTGCAGAGGATAAAATGTGTGAGACCAGTGCGTTGGCACAGCAGGAGTGTGACTTTTGCCTTGATAACTGGCCAAGCTCACAATATCCTGTCTTACAGTATTAAACTGCCATGTGGTGTTTTGGCATCTGAAAGTCTTCAGACTTACGGATTTGTCAGTGGACTTCCTGGATTAGATTTGATCTCACTGGTACCTGTAGCAACACTTGCCTCACCTAACCTACATATGGCCTTGGGTCAAAGTGAAAGTACTTGGTGGAACACAGCAA